AAATATGCAAGCAAGAAGGGAATAGATCATGCATCTGAAGCAACGTATTATTCCATTTCCAGATCCCTGTGGAGCATGTGTCACAGCTCTGCAAGCTCGCAGCTGGTATGTTGCCGCGGTTGCCCCGCGCATGCACAGAGTCCCTGGCGAAGTCAGCTCGATGATAGAGAACATGTGCTGACATGGACAAAACTTTGGGGCGCAGAACGCGGCAGTTCAAGGGAACATGCCAAAATATCTTGGATCCAAAGAGGCACCAATATTTGCTCTCCAGCTTGCATCGGGGTTTAATCGTTGGCTAGTCCATAGGCAGGGTCGCAAGAAAGTGAAGACTGTTGGGAGGACACTGTTGGCAAAGAATACATGAAAGTAGTGTGCCTCAAAATCTGTTCCTCGATCTCCTGGTCCTTAAGCTGCCCAGAAAGCCCCGCACAAATTCAGAATTGAAACTGCCAGGAAGAGAGGGCCCGCACTGATTTGATTTTTGCATCCGCTTGCCTTGGGGTAGCCGCTTGAAATTCAGATCAACAGCTCTGTGCATGCCAGAAGATCACAACTCCTACGTATGAAAATTGTTGGCCTGCATTGTTTCGCTTCTGGGATGCCAACTCTTGAAACCATTTCTGGCGCTTCTTGACGTCCTGTTGCGTGCTTGTTTGTGTTGTCTGCTGGTGCGAGGAACGGTGTTTTTTCATCAAGGGCTACAGGACTGGTGGTTGTGCCAGCTGGAAAACCATGCGCAGGGAAAATTCACGGTTTTGATGCAGCCGCCGTGCCCTGGCAGACCCTGGCAGACCTTCTCTGAGTCACCTCTTCTTTTACCTCCGTGCCGCCTCTTTCTAAGCGGGCCCTTATCTGAAGTATTTTTTCTCTCAGCTAAAATTCCTCAGAGCTGCACATTCTTTCATTAGCCTTTCCAGCTTTTCTTTCAACCAGCTGCTTTAAAACTGTCTTCAAGATTGCCTCAGCGTCACTGCGGAAGATCCTATTTGAATCCTTTCAAGATTGTAGCAAAAGCTTTTCTATGCAAGGCCGTCGGGCCCCCCCACAAGATTTTAACAAAAGACACAGCCTATAGCATCTCCAAGCGAACTCTTTGCAAGATCTCTCGAGCGCATCTCTGCAAGGTCTCATGGCACATCGCTTGGGGTTCCTGGAAGATCTATCTGCCTGAAGTAACTTTTTAATTTGAAAGCTACACAGGCACACAGGCAGCAGTGAGCACAATGCAAAAATCTTACCTGCAGACCCTACCGTAAAATCTGGCAACCCTTATCTCGCACGCGAAGATGAAAAAATTGGGCTAGCTGAAGGGCATTGGTTCCGTTGCCAAAAAATGAAAGCTTTCTATGAATTTGTCGGCGTCCCAGGCAGTTGCAATGGGAACTTCATGGCCCAAAAGAATGGAAACCTGCTTGTTGGAGGGATCAAGGTGGTGGTTTGCTGAGCCATTCCGGAACTTGGCCCCTGTTCGTTAAAACTGTTTGTTTTCAGGGGTTGAAGGGTTCGGTTCGGCCCCTGCTGGGTCCAAAGGTTCAAATTTACATAAGCGCCTGTGGCACACATCATGGCGGGCCATCTGCGTATGCAAAGTTGCAGCCAAATTGAACCCTATCAAAACTTGTGGCTGTCCTAGCGGTCGCTGAACAAGTTTCCATTCCAACCCTCCATGGTTGTTTCCAGTTACCAGTAACTTCCATGTCTCTTTCGCTCGGCTCAAGTGGGTGTGTCGCCTGGTGGTAGAGGCGGTTGATTGAGCTCTGAACCTGCACTGTCCAAGCCGCAAGCGGAAGCGGTCCGAGTAAAAACCCATGTCACCTGTTGAGAACCTGGTGAGTTGAGGAGCAAACCTTCTGAATCTTCTCTGAAGCATCCGGTGTGTCCACGCGCCGATGTACCGAAGCTTGTTGAATGTGTTCCCTGAGCAAGGCTTTGCAAGTGCAGACTCATTGACAAGGAAGTCCCAGGCAGCTCTCTGTGCTTTCATGGTGCAGTTTGAAGGCAGAACCCTATTCACATCATGCTTCGTGCAACCTGATTTTTGGTTTTGGTTCCTTCATGACTTTTGTTTCAACCCATCGGACAATTTCTACATGTTCCCCTGAAGCAGAAAGCATGGGGGCATATAATGCTTTGCTTGACACAAAAAATCGTCCCAGGCCCGGGTCACAATCATTCCATCAAGGCACAATTCTTGCTGCATCTTCTCTGATCGCAGCTTTTCAATCTTCTCCTAAAGAAACAAAAGCTCCCCAAAGCATCTGCAACACTGTGAAGACAGTGCGAAGCAGTGCTGATTTTTTCCAGTCCTTGGATTTCTTGTGAGATGAATACAACCTATCCACCGCTTTGGTCGCTTTGGTCATGTCCTTATTTGAGAGCTCGCCTTGGGGAAGCGCACAGCGGAGGCCAACCAGAGGGCGCAGCAAAGCTCAGCCAAGAGGATCGGAAATTTGAAGGGAGGGAAATGGAGGGAAATGGAGGGAAATGGAGCGCGGGTGACATCTTTCCTTGCTTTCGTCGTCCTTGCCAATATGCTAGTTGTTTAATTTCAAGAAATCTGTGTGTTTACAAGCCGTACGGAAATTTGCGCATGACTTTTGCGCCTTTCCTGCAACCTGCCTGCACTATCACTATCAGATTGACCGGAACCCTTCGCAACTTTATCGTTTTGTGTCGGATTGGCACAGGAATGGCAAGGCATGACGGGTCTTGAACTGACTCTCCACAGGGTATGCTTCAGTGTCATCCGTCTTCAATCTGTAAACATGAAAAGAACACACAGGAAAAAGTGTCAGCGACTTTCCTGAGAATCGCAACGATGGACGCTATGCTGCTTGAAGTAGTTTGCTTCCTCCTCCCACCGTCTGTGGGTCACATCTGGCATATGGCATTTCAACGCTAAGATTTGCTGTCAACTACGCTCCGGTCCTCCGCCTGCCCTTTTACCCTTTCGGCCCTTTTTTCCTTGGGCAGACTAGGCATTGCAGCACTTCAAGCTGAAACCCAACATAGGGCACCGCAAAAAACAGCAGATCAGTTTCAGAAAGGACGATCTGGGCCATGATCCACAAAAGGCATTTCCAGATATTTCCAGCAGTCATACATGACAACCACATGACAACCTGTTTTTTGTTCGTTGTGGCTGCACAATTCAAAAGAAGCGAGGCCAAGCATCATCCCGTGTTGTTCTCCAAGCCTCTTGGTCACGCACCCAGTCCTCATGCCAGGCTAGCTTTAGGATAAAAGCATCTAAAGTCAAAGGGTGAACCGTTCAACCTGGAACTTCTTCCGCGGAACTGGGCTGCCTGCGGGCACGGGTAAGGCATGATCAAATCCAAGGTTTCGCGCGATTGGCACTATCTCTATGACTTTGGAAGATGGAGAAACATCATCGGGGTGCGGGCGATGCTCGTCGCGAAGCGACTAGAAACTAGAATAAAACCCATTTGCAAACCTCATCAAGAGCGGCAATCAAATTCTTCATTGCATGGGAAAGAAAAAACTTAGCAGGCAAATCAAAAACAAAATGCCAAAAAAAGCTGCACTACAAGCAGGAATCGCGTTGAGATTGCCTCTTTCGGATAATGAAGGCGAGAAAGGCGCCATGGAAGCCTGCTGTATGACTTTTTGCAGGGGCGAGGAGGCAACAGCAACAGCAAGGCAACCAGGCAAAGGCAATAAGCATTGCCGGGCTTCTTTGAGCGATGACATTACGGACAGGTGATTCATCAGCGGACGGAAACCCTTGAGGCACACGCAAATTCTTTCCCGTACTTGTCTCGGATCCTGGCAGCTTCAGGGCACTGCCTTTTGCATAGGCTGTCATCCCATGGAAAGTCAAGATGCCCAAATCACTCGATCGCAAGCAACAGCTGCAATCAATCATTCTTTATCAAAACATGAACTTCGTAGCATGCGAAAGAGGCGAGAGCGAGAGAGAGAGAGAGAGAGATACAGACACACACACATATATATATGTATGCATATATATATATATATACGCACACACACATATATATATAGATAGACACGTATATTTCAAGAATTTCAACAAAGTAAACAACATCCAAACACAAATAAACAACTGAATCATTTATGCGCACACAGTTGCGCACGAGCAAAGCACAGGCAGACTGGGTCGCAGAAGTTTCCGCAAAGTAGGACCAAGTAGGAAGCGTACAGAACAGAAGGGGAACCTGCAGGAACTGCACCGTAACCACCTAGTTCCGCAAGCTCTCGACTGTGGCGACGTCCCTCTCTTTCTCTGGTTGTCTTTCTCTCGAGTACTCTCTTTGCTGACAACTCTTTCTGATGTCACTGGAGACCTCTTTCTTCTGACCCACCCTGGAGTAGACATTTTGGTTTCAGTTGTTCCTCGCGACCAATATTTTCCCTTGAGATCTCTTTCTCTGAGATGTCTTTCTCTTATTAATGACATTAATTACCGCCGCCCTAGACGCCCACCACCACCCTCCCCAACCCCAGCCTATGTCACGTAACGCATCCAAGGAACGTTAACATCACCCCACCCCCCCAAACCCCAGCGTATGTCACGTAACGCATCTAAGGAACGTTAACATCACCCCACCCCCCCAACCCCAGCGTATGTCACGTAACGCATCCAAAGAACGTTCATCACCCCACCCCCAACCCCAAGCGTATGTCACGTAACGCATCCAAGGAACGTTAACATCACCCCACCCCCCCAACCCCAGCGTACGTCCACGTAACGCTTCCAAGGAACGTTAACATCACCCCACCCCCCCTGCGAACGAAAGGAAAGCAAAGCAACTAATCCTATGCACCCTAAACACCAAAGGAGCGTTCGCTTTTGTCTGAGCGAGCGATACGCTGTAGGTTCTCAAGGGACTTGTGCCGCATAGCTTCGGGCACCAAGAATGATACATCAGCAAATGATTCAATGTGGTGAGCAATGTGCTGATTTCTCACCGGTCCAAAACTCTATTTGCTCACCACCGAGGGACAGCACGGTTGTCAGCCAAATCTCATCAACATAGAGATTTTGTTGGAGGATCCTCTTCTTGCGGGCCGACTGAAACTTAGGATCATAGACAATTTTCCAAGCATGTTCCCTAAGCGCCCTGATAAGAGGTTCATGTTTCCAAGGTTTCGTGAGCCCATCCGCAAGTTCTTGTTCACCATCCACCCACCTGAGACAAACATTGGCCTGGTTGAGCCGTTCTTTGATCGCCAACAGTTCGATGGCAGTCCGTTTTTCTTCCATATGAAGTCCACTGGTCTCAACCTTGCATATACCATCATATATATTTCTCGCATCACAAACCATGCATGACTCAATTTCTCTCAAGTATTCATCAGTTCTTCTCAAATCAAGTCTTTTCCCATGTAACAAATCATAGTATCCAAGTTTCGCAAACTCATGAAGGTCAAGGGCATTCCCAGACATCTGAGCTTCAGCGGAAGTAGAACTACGAGCAACTCGTTTTAGACGTCTACTACTCCAACTCAAAACGGAAAAAGGAGACACTTGGCCAGTCAAAATGTCCTTCTGCATAAGTAAAGTGATCTGACCCCCTTGGCTGCTCCCGTCCCGTCGAGTGGCCCACGACGCGTCGGTAAAAGTACAAAGAGTACACTCTCCTTGCAAAACAGGAAAACACAAACCTTCATCATATCTTTTGATTTGTAATCGAATGAGCTTGTTGGTAGACAACAGGTCCTGAATAGTTCCTCCTTCAACACAACCTTGGAGATGACAACTGTTGAAAGGAGCCAAGGTGCCGTCTGCGTGGCACGCCAGTTGAGTGCACCAAGTCGTTGACGCATCTGGGATTTCTCGGATTCTGTCAAGAGCGCAGTTGGTTCCATCTTTCTTTCATGGGAAATGGAAATTTCATCAACACTCAAAGCAAACTTTTGCTGTTTCACCGTGATACTACCATCATTGTGTTGTTTGATCTCGCATCCACAGTATTGAACAGTGTGTTCCCAAGCACTTTCCCAACTACCAAAAGTAAACTTGTTCCTCAATCTTCGATACTTCGTTCGTAAATGTCACCCGAACCAGAAGTAAGAACATCATCAACATGAATACCCAAATAACCACACACAAAACCATTTTCATCCAACCGTTTAAACAAACACTTGTCAAGAGAATGAATCAACCAACCATCATTGATCAAGAATTCACTAAGAGCTTCATACCATTTCTTCGGTGCATTGAGTAACCCATAAATAGCCTTTGCAATTCTGAGAATCTGTTCAGGGGTCATACCGAGAGACAGTCTTACGTCTTCAGGAGGTAGTCCATAAACTTCTTCCTTCAATTCACTTTTGTTTCCTTGCAAAAAGGCTGTACGCATATCTCCAGTCTTTAGAACAAACCTGCGTCGAGCGGTTTCGGCCAATAAAAGGTTTCTTCCTAGGCAAGACAGAGTCGGTGCTTCACGTGGCAAAGTAGTTAATCTAGGGTCCTCAAAACCTCTGATGATCAACCTTGATTTCGCCTTCTTACCTGTTTCCTTTCCACTTTCATCATGAACAGCTTTCCAACTATGAATCCACTTCATCTTCATGATTCTTTCGGGGGGAATTCCAGCGGAAGAACAAATTTGAATGGCTTCACTCGAAAGAAAGGAATCCAACTCCTTGCGCATGGCCGCTTCGAATTGTGCACGATCTTCCTCATTCAATTTTCTAATGTTCACTTCAGCAGACTTCCTAGCTTTGGAATTTACCATCCAAATGCCACGACCTTTCATATGAACATCTCTAGGAGCTAAAACAAGTTCAAACTCACAAACATCCAAATCACCAACACTTTCAGCAAAACAAACCTGATTCTCAAAGAAAGCACCACGACCAACTTTCAAACGACAATGCAAGTTTTCGTCTCGTGACGGAAGTCTAGACCGCTGCCTGCGATCTTCACCAGTCTTCGCTGGTTCATACGCGGAATGAGGGGATCTACTGCGGACATCTACGGTGCCGGTTTCTGCACCGACATCAGAATCTGGCCCAGCAAGGATTCCATCTGATGGAGGCGGCCCTTCATCTGAGCCATCTCGTTCTCCACATCGTCCACCCGGCTCCAGCTGGATACCGACTCCTGGTCGTCTGCTGGAACTGGAAGCTCCTCCGGCAGGATCCTCTTCTTCTCTGTCATCCTGATGTCTGTCTCGGTCGAAGAGCTGGCTGGGATCAAGGGAGGCTGGTCTTTTCCTTCCTGATTGGTCTTTTCTGTCTCTTTCGTCTGCTTCTTCTTGGCTGCGGCCGAGTTCTGACGATCTTCCCCTTGAATCTCTCCTTCCAGTCGGCGTCTCATGTCGACGACGAACATCTTCATGTCGTGACCTGACTTGGGATTGTTTGGAATGTGTGCGGCCACCCACTTCAGATATCCGTTGTCGTTGAAGATCTCTTGGTATGTTTCGCCCTGATGCTTCCCGACCTTCATGACCAGTGCTCCTAACTCTTCCAGAGGTAGGAGTTCGGCTTCGGCCAGGGAGATCTCGTTCACCTTCTTCATCTTGATCTTCATGAGATTGGAGAGGCTGCTCGACATTAGGCAATGGATCAGCTGGGGGTTCACGTCTCGGACCGTAATGCAGGTCTGGAACAGACTGCTTTCCTCGAGCCCTGAAATGCGGCATCTGTTCATCTGGAACTGCATCATCATCCAAGCAACTGTAATCATCATGACTCAAATCAAGATACTTTTGTTGATTGGCAACATCTTTCAACAGGTCAAAGTAATTTTGAGGTCCGTTGATTTGACGGTCAACATGACGAAGATCTTGAGTGACATGTCTCAACTGCTCCGGACAGCACCTAATGATTCTACCAGCATGTGAAACCCAAACGATGGATCCTGCAGGTGCTTCATCTTGCAAGGGAGATGTCTTTTCTTGTGCCAGCACGCGTGCTGGTCCATGCCATGTACCTCCATACCTCAAACCTTGTCTAGTTCCCTTCCGAAAGTAGTACGCCAAATCCCCAACAACAAACTCCCTCAGTGTCCTACATCGTGCGTGAAGAGATCGCGCTATCCTTCTTTTGGCATCGATCTGCAAAAAGTGTTGTCTGGCTTTTGCCTCGGCCTGTAGCTGTGCTTCAAACGAAATATCTTCCCTGGCTGAGTCCCATGGAAGATTGGCGGACTGTTGCAAGAAAGAAGAAATTCTGGAATGATCCTGTCCTAAAGCCCATTGGTTCGGACTATATCCTCGGATCTGGTGCATTCCATTCTTGGCGGACAGAGCGAGTCCCAGCAATTCATCAGGGGAGAATTTATCTTCAAGTTCCAAACTCAACAAATTCATCTGCTCCTTAAGCGTCTGAAGATGTTTGCTATGTTTCCCCATTTGCCAGGCACCCTCTCCCGCAATCGGCTCAAGCCTCATTCCAAAAACTTCCAACCACTGGGCAATATCCAAACTACGCATGAAACCCTCTTCATCATATCTCAACAAACTGGGAGCCGGAAAATTTCTCAACCAACCAGTAGAAAACGCCCTACGGAAATCATCCGCGGAAATATTCCTAAGGGGACCATCCTTACTGGTTTTGATGATGACCGCAACATGATAATCCGTAGCCTCATCCATCAAACTCAACCCAATAGTATACACAGGTTTGCATCCAGCATTGAGGGCTTCCTTGGGAGTATGCCACCAGAAAGTATCCATGGAAACACATTCCCACTTGTTGTATTTCTTCATGACAGCCGCTGGACGTGCTGGTGCTCTCCTGGCTCTTTGCAGACAGGTTGCGCATTCGAAATTCTGAGCCACCCTAAGTGTTCGTTCATCCGCGCCAGCATCCCTGAGCATCCTGATCATGGTTTCCTTGTTAGGATGACCCAAATTGCGATGTATGACTTTCAGTTTTTGGTTGATTTCTCTATCCTCATCTTGTTCATGTTGTTCCTCATTTCCTTCCATGGCATGATCTCCTTCAACATGTCCTTCATCTTCCACAAAAACATCATCAGGATCCTCAAAGTTCGCAAAAATCGAAGACATGGATTTGTAGTCTTCCATAAGAGCCTTGGCAAAACGTCGACACAAAAGACGTGGATAAACTGCGGACCTCGACGTGAGACTTCCTTCGATCTTCCGATGTGTCCCAGGTCCATGATTGCAGACAAGATTCAAAGCCCTTTTTATACCCGAATGAGTGGAGAACCAACCCCATGGTTTCTTGACCAATAAACCCGAATCATCACAAACCATTCCGTGTCTACACCCATGAACCGGAAAACGAGGACCACACATTTTCAACATGATTTTCATGTCATGAACCAACCAACTCTGTGCATGTAAAGGATGTTCTCCACCAGCATGTCTAACATCACCAGAATCACAACCACCATCACCACACATTTCATGAAGTTGAACCTCAATGATCTTTCTACAATGGTACAACAGTTTCCTACTCTTGTTTCGTTCTTCCTGAAGTCGCCTCTTCTGTTCATCAGTTTTCTGATTGCAATTCTGAATGGATGACCATGGCCAACAAGGGGGAGAGATATGAACATACCTGGGCTTGAGAGTACGAATAACATGCAGAACTTTGAGATACCCATGTCTAGTGGTCAAATCGTACCCATTGTGTAACCCAAGAGACAATGCTTTACCCCCAGCAGCACGTATGGCCTCAGTCAGTGGACTGTCCTCAGGGGCACAAACTTCCAGGAAATCAAGTTTTGAACCTAGGACCACATCTCGGAGTTCCCTGACACCTAGATTGAGTTCCTCTTGAAGATGCGCCGAAATCTGATGTTTCTCATGTTCACTAAGGAAAAATTCAGAGGCCGTCGGAGGTTCCTCGATGATGAAACAGCTTTCCTGACTTTCACTTTCCTCCACAGTTTGACTGACATGGTAAGCAAAATTACATGACTCATCTTCTTTCCCACTCAAGGTCTCTTCTCCAAAAACGGAGGTTCCATTCAGACCTTGGTGGAGCTGTCCCTACTCAAAATCGGAGGCACCAGTCCCTTGAGATTCCCCTGCGGTCATCTCTTAGGTACACTGGATTTTCTGTACACCGGCATCGGGATGGTCTACGCGCATAGCATTCAAAACTGAGCTGTGACCGGCAAACGCAGTAACTGGCAACATGAGGTGATTCCCGGGACTTCTTTCCAACTTCACATGTTGATCCGAAACCAGTCCTGAAATTGATCGTGGCTTTCATGTCATACAAAAACTTTGACGAGAGAAGAAACGGTGTTCCACCTTCTACCATGTGTGCCTGCAACGTGATCTCACTGCCACACAAACCCGCATTCACGTGGCTCAGTCCTAGGGCTGCGCTGCTCTGATTGTTGCCGAAGACAAAGTTTTTGTGCATGCTGCGATCAACTTCAATTTCTTCTTGAGGATTGAAGCCCATTTCTTCATAAACTGAAGCTAGGTCTTGCAGTGTTTCGACCCCGACGATGTTGTCGCTGGCACCACTGTCAATGATCGCTTTTCCCCGCATCGGGTTCTCTCCAGTCTGGACATAGATGGCATCCTCAGCATGCTGAACTTCTGACTTTATCTCCTCATTGGGCTCATTCTGAGTTTCATCGGCAGCAGCAATGAGAGACGGTTCTCCGTCATCAAACTGTACCTTCTTGATCTCCTTCTCGGGAACCAAGGGGAACGAAGTTGTTCCGGTCCACAAAGTCGTCGAAGTCATCGATCTTGACCCCTCGACATGCCAGCAGTCGGTCATCTCAGCACCTCCAAGCCCCACCAAATCCATCTTGGTGATGCGCTGTCCTGTCAAAGATGACAGGGGCACTGGACATGCATGGAGATCTGGTGCAAAGAGCTTCTTTCGCTGACAAACGTGGTGTCGATGCAACATCTTCCTCTCCTCATCGACCGTCCAATAGTCATCCTTGGCCTCGTGGACAGTGAAAACGGTTCCCACAAAGCCAATCTTGCCTGAATTGCCACCCTTTCCTCCTGGCAAGCCGCCTCGCTTCTGAGGACAGATTCTGGCTATGTGCCCTTTCTTCCCACATCTCAAGCAAATCTTGTCTGAGTAGTCCTCGGAAAAACCTTTTCCTGACTTGTTGTAGTTCTTCCCACTGCCTTTTCCAGACAGCCCATTGTAGATTCTTCCTCCTTTCTGGTTCGGATTCCTGACTGGGTAGAATCCTCTCGGGCTTTGTCTAAAGCCTTTCGAGCTTCCTGGTAGGAGGCATAGATCTCGGGATCCTCAGGAGAGTCGTTGAATGCAACTGATATCTCATGAAACCATGCAGCAGCCTCATCCAACTCCTGCTGCATGTCCTCCTCATCTTCATCATAGTAGATTCCATGCTGAGTGTCTGAACGCTCTGGAGATTCCTCTTCATCCACCAGCAAAGTCTGGCCAGATGCCTTCTTCTTCTTCTCCGCGTCTTTCATGACAAGACCACCACCACTCCACATTCTGTGAAGTGCCGACAGAACATGTTCAAGGCGGTAAGAGTCTGCTCTACCTCGGACATTGGCAATGTCCGATGGATCCATCCTGGCATACATGTGCAAGAGACTCCAGCCATATACCTCCTGAGGCATACGGCCTTCTGAACCTGAGTCGCGGATGGCCTTGTCAAGGCGACGGACCATCGTTCTGAACCTGAGCTCAAAGTCTCTCAGCTCTTCGCCTTCTCGACGATAGGTGTCTCGCTTGATGAAGAATTCTGCAAAAGCATCCCCAAGAACATCTACTTTCTCCTTTCCTCGTTTCTGCTCAAGGTGTCTGAGAAGATATTTCCATCCATCTTTGCCACGCAGCTCCACGCGATCGACGTCTGCAATCGCCTCGAAAGCACGGCCGACCAAATTCCCAGCTAATTTGGGACCGAGATGTGGCAATTCGTCTTCTTTGGTAGCATCTGCCTTCAACTCGACTCTGAAGACGTAATCAGAGTAAGAAGTCCATTCACCATCCCACCATGGAAACTTCCAATCGATCTGGTCAGAGTCTTTCGTGCCAGAAGCCCCAGCCATGGCACTACAAAGCAAAACTACACTAAGGAGCCCTGCCCGAATCAGGCTCCCGCTACCATGCGGAACGAAAGGAAAGCAAAGCAACTAATCCTATGCACCCTAAACGCCAAAGGAGCGTTCGCTTTTGTCTGAGCGAGCGATACGCTGTAGGTTCTCAAGGGACTTGTGCCGCATAGCTTCGGGCACCAAGAATGATACATCAGCAAATGATTCAATGTGGTGAGCAATGTACTGATTTCTCACCCCCCAACCCCAGCGTACGTCACGTAACGCTTCAAAGGAACGTTAACATCACCCCACCCCCCCACCCCAACCCCAGCGTATGTCACGTAACGCATCCAAGGAACGTTAACATCACCCCCCACCCCCCCACCCCAACCCCAGCGTATGTCACGTAACGCTTCCAAGGAACGTTAACATCACCCCACCCCCCCACCCCAACCCCAGCGTATGTCACGTAACGCTTCCAAGGAACGTTAACATCACCCCACCCCCCCCCACCCCAACCCCAGCGTATGTCACGTAACGCTTCCAAGGAACGTTAACATCACCCCACCCCCCCACCCAAACAACCCACACGCATGTCACAACGCATCCAAGGACTTAACATCACCCCACCCCCCCACCCCACCCCAGCGTATGTCACATCCAATGAACGTTAACATCACCCCCCCCCCCCGCACCCCAACCCCAGCGTATGTCACGGACTGCATCCAAGGACGTACATCACACCCACCACCCCCACCCAATCCCCGCGCATGTTCACTAACGCATCCACGGAACGTTCACATCAACCCACCCCCCCCTCCCCAACACCCAGCGTCTGTCACTCCAAGTAACTTACATCACCCACCCCCCCCCACCACCACGTATGGTCACGTAACGCCTCAAGAACGTTCACCCCCCCCCCCTCACCATCAACCCCCGTCACCCCACCCCACCCCAACCCCAGCGTATGTCACGTAACGCTTCCAAGGAACGTTAACATCACCCCACCCCCCCCCACCCCAACCCCAGCGTATGTCACGTAACGCTTCCAAGGAACGTTAACATCACCCCACCCCCCCACCCCAACCGTAGCGTATGTCACGTAACGCTTCCAAGGAACGTTAACATCACCCCACCCCCCCCCACCCCAACCCCAGCGTATGTCACGTAACGCTTCCAAGGAACGTTAACATCACCCCACCCCCCCACCCAAACAACCCACAAAAAGTATGAACGCAGTAAAAAACGTTAAAAAACCCCGCGTCTCTACGGGCGGCGTTAGCATAAACAAGGACCAGTTGTTCGCATTCGGAGAAATATTCCAACAAAAATATTGTAGATACAAATATGCCATATGCCTCATTGCTGTTGATTGGGCCGCTTGATGCTGGTTCATGTCCGGTTCATTCCTATTTACCACGGGATGCGGCATCTCTTGGATTATTGTCGCAAGTTGGCCGTGCGGGGGTTGGAGATATTGAAAGGCTGAGAGGGATCGTTTGGTTTCAGTAGGACGGGTTTCCTGAGATTGAAATGGCAGATTTGCAGTACACATGTCTATGCAAACGCAATCAAAATAGCAAAAACACAAAGGAACATCTCATATCCTCAAATACGTACAAAGATGCATTTCTTTACATCTGCGGTGCATGCACAGCCTTCTTTCTGTGCGCTGAAGCTCGGTGGGATAAAATGTCCTCAGCAGCTCCTCTTCCTTTCTCTGCGTCCCATGATGCAATCTTCTGCAAGCTTCAGCCTGCAAGACCAAGAGCTTCAACTCTGTGAAAGATTTCTATGATTTCTCCTCCATTACATTTAAGAATTCACTCATATATATATATGTATTGACACGTTTTACACATGACAAAGTCGTTGTTTCACATTGTTTCGCTTTATCGTTGTTACTAAATTTATCACTTCACAAAAGCACCATGTCCGCATTTCTCAGGCTGCGACTGCTGGGCCATCCTCTCGGAGCTGTGGACGCCAAGCCTCACCGTACGACTGCCACGACTCTTGAGATGATTTTCATCGAGAAATCATGATCAATCTGAATCAATCTGAATCAATCTGTCAATCTATTTCTTTTGCGTTGCGCCTTCTCCTTTGCCAGTTTCTCCTCTTCCCGGCTTTCCACCTCAGTCAGTGAAACATCAAAGTGTGTTTGAAAATTTGAAACAGCTTGCTGTGCTTCTCCGATGCGTTGCGCCTGTCTTTGATGAGCTCGTGTACTCCTGCACTGCTTGACAGAGCTTGCATGATACGATCCAGCTGGCGGGAGCCCCGATTTTCTTCGATTTTGGCATCGTTTGTTGGCGGCACAAAGGGCAGGAAGGGACCACGGTTTTCCAAGGCAAGGATCCTCTGGTATAATCGCTCATGAGCGGACGTCGGCCGCGCCTGGAAAGAGAATGAACACACTTGCAAACAGTCAAAAAACTGTTTCTGCTGCACCGTGAGACCAATTAATGGGCTGTGGAATAGCTTTTATCTTGGGACCAGGCGCTTGCCGTCAGCGTCTTCTGGGTTCGGTTGCAACTGCGGTGCAGAAGTCGGCTTCAAATGTGCTGTCGAAAATTCATTGTAGCAAGAAATCAAACGACGAGAGTTAGCTGCATTGTAGCAAGCTACATCATACACTGAATCATAAGTCCATTGCAGCCAAAGATATGACATACGTATGGCATAGGTATGATGACATAAGCCCCTGAGCATCTGCAACTTCTCCAGTCTCCCTGTTGCCCTCGCCTATTTGCACAGCTTGGCTGGCTCCGAGTTGGGCTGCGGCTTGGAGGTCTTGGATTCCGACCTGATCCGACGGTTTCTCATTTTTCACTCGGTTCCAGGTCAAAAGTCTCAGAGTCTCAGTTTCTCTCAATTTCAAAGTGTGATTTTGGAGGCGTGGACTCACTCCTGTCCAGCCTCGACCTTGAGAACTCTTCGGGCTTTTCGAGCCGGGCTTCGGTTGAGATGTCTTGAAGTTGGCAAGAATTTGATCTTTGATCTCCTCCAAAGTCACCAGATCTCCTGACGCAGTGGCAATCTGTGCAACATCTCTGTTCTGAATCAATCTGAATCAATCTGAATCAATCTGAATCATATTTTTTCAATTTATTCATTTTTCATATCCTGTACTGTCTCAGTTTTTCTAGGCGCCCATGCTCGACTGGCAACCGTCCTTCGGAATCTGGCGGCCCTTCGAATCGATCCAGTGGAGCCGGGTCGGATTCCTGCCGTGACAGGAGAGATGAAACGAACATACGATTGACCATATTGACCATATTGACCTAGTAAGTTTCAAGTAAGTTTTAAGTAAATTGTATGATAATGTATGCTAGCGTCCAGCGTTTCGACCGAGACCCAACCGGGGCTCAAAACAGGGTCGGCTGAAGCTGCACTGGAAGCACCGCTCACAATTTATCGCAACTTAGCACAGTGACCTAGTGACCTTTTCGGTGCAGCCTCAGCCTCTTGGCTCGGCTCCACATCCGGCCTGCATCTGCAACTTTGATGGGCTTCTGTGCTTGTTTCCATGCCATTCATGGCATTGATGATTGATGATATTGATGGATATGGTGGCCTTTGTGCTTGTGCCTTGAATTCTGGTAACGGAACCAAGTTGGCACAGACTTTTCATGTGGCCACCTTGTTGTGCTTCCACGTTTGACCTTCCAGCCCTCTGACTAGTTGAACATAGCTGGTAAAGAAGCATGCCATGGTGATGCCAATAGGTCAAAATGAGCTGAATGATGGAGTCACCCCGGTGACCCGGTGAAGCCCAATCTTCCACTTGCGCGCTGAGCTGCAGATCTGGCGGCTCAGCACATTCGACGTGGTCAGCAACACCCCAAAACAACCTGTGCAAAAGCGACGAGACTTCAAACACTTCACCGTCGCCAAAGCCCAACACCCACAAAGATATGCGCATACGTGGCACAACTGCCTATGAAGCTCTGAAAGATCGGAGTGCACTGTGACCTTCGAACAAAATTCTCAGAGCGTTCCGGGGCCCCAGCTCGTCGTCGCAAATGGTCGCGGCACCCGCCGGGCCCGCCTGGTCACATTGCCAATATCTTTCCGTGTCCTGGGTTTGCCTCGTGCGCTGGTGGGTTCCAACTCTGACAAGCACAATATTGACCATGAAATATCGGTGTTGGGAAGTGCTCATTCACAAATTGCGACCATGAACTGACTATGTTTGAAAGAGTCTGCAGAGTTCCTGGGTGTCCAACGTCTGCAATGGTCTTGCCCATGCTTCATGATCATCCTGACTCACCGTCTGCATCAGCCTGCAGGATTGAGATTCGCTGGAGTCCTGATGGTCTCGCTGGTCCGTGTGCTAACTTTCTCCACGGCTTGTGTGACAAGTCCCGGAGAGAGGGGTCGAATGAGATGCAGAGAAAACTGCTGGATCCAAAATCCAAGGGCACTCAGATCAGGATGGCAACGGGGTTCAAAATGAGCGCAGGAATACATCGACAGCGTCGGATGGTGGTGAGGATGGCAAGGATGGCAAAGGATGGCAAGGATGGCAAGGATGGCAGGTGAGGAATGTGACATTTTCAATGACAAATTGCTGATGACGATGATTGGATGATTGTCGATTGGATGGCTCCACCTTTCGCTTTCTGGTGGAGCCATGTTTTGCCCATGCTTTACATCTTGGTCACAACTAGTATCCATCGACGTAGTTGTTGCTGATAGTGGTGTATGAGTGACCATGACGTTGATTTTGATCATGAAAATGATGAGAATAAAGCTGACGATGAAGATAGCGAAGACCAAAAAGATGACAATGATGATGGTGAGTGGTTAGGGATAAAAGATCTTGCCGCAGCAGAAAATGTGGCCACGAAACAGATATCACGTTGAGGACGATACTGGTGACCACCTATCTAAGCCCAACTACGACGCTACCCCTGACGAGTCGTGAGGAACGATAGTGACTGTAACAATAGTGACTGCGACAGTCAGAAGGATGAGAATGGATTGGAGGGGACCTATCCCCTTCCCAAAGAAAGAAACACTTACATTTTCCTGAGTTCATTGAATAAAACCGACCCCTGTTCCAATACTTAGCATTGAAGTAGGTAAGCATCAGGTAGCCTAGGTCACCATGCCTTACAGGTGGCCCATGTCAATGTTTCTGGTCCATCTGAGCCGCTGGCTCATCATCCATAAACCTCAGATTGACAAGACTTTTCTCACTTTGTCAGGCCTTGTTATTCTTTGAGCCGTGATTTGTCACATATCTTGTTATTCAATTCTGACATGGTGACGTGGTGCATGGCTCTACCCAGTTGTCCACGCTTTCATGCCTAAAACTTCTCTACGTTTGAACATCCTGCCGCAGGAGTCTCTTGACATGCGCTGAGCTGCTGGCTTATCCATGGCTTCAAATCATGCAACGTCGTCATCCATTGCCTGCGGACGCGCGGTTTCACAAAACCCGTTTTTTTTTAAGCGAAATCTGCAAATGGTCACCTAGGAGTCTAAGGATGGTGACGAAGGCCTCTACGCTTGAGGCTTGACATGGGAAAATTCTGCAAATGTTCAACATCTATTGAGCTCTTGTAGCATGAGCAAGTTTGTTTCAAAACACCTGTCTGGTGGAAGGACGCTCCTTGGTTTGCGTGTGGTGAAATTGTGAAGGCAATGACTGCGGAGCTGTTTTTGCAAGGCGCGCTGGCAAACAACGCATAAGTGAGACAGTTTCTGAATGATGGATGTTATAGTGGTAACCAAAAATCTGAACTGAAGCAACCGTAGGATGTTCCGGAGTCTCTTTTTCAAACCTAGTGGGGTATGGCCGCACTTGCTGTGTTGAGCCAACTGTTGGTCAAGGCGCAGAATGGTTGAAATGGTTGAAGATGAAATGAACAAAATAATGCAACTCATACAAAACAGATAAAAGACCAAGTACACCCAAGTGCCAGGTTCATCTCGTGGTGACTTTTTTCCCTCAAGACCGGGCTTGGGTCGAGAACTCAGCCTGAAGGCCTGAAGGCCTAATGCTCGGAAGGACAGGAGGTCGTGACCATTCCGATTTGGGTGAAAAACGCCAGAGTGGAGCCGAGAAAGATCCCAAAGACCAGGGCAAGCGACCTCAAAGCTGGTAATGTCTGAAAAGGTGGTAATGATGGTGTCTGAAATCTGAAAGTGCCGGTGAAAACGTTAACAAATGACACAAAACACTTTTTGATGTACCCTCTAATCAACCGTGGCAATGGAATTTGTTCCCCATTTGCAGATGAATTGTTCATGTGAATCTCCATGGGGCATTTCTTAGCTAGCCGCTAGCCATTTTTGCAGCCTTGGTACATGATGGTGCCCACAGGCTCTTTCTCGTGGCTCGAGACTCCAGTTTGCTCTGGCCCAAGCATCATGGACAAGGTGGACACATAGCCATTGGAGAAGGCCATGAGTACCTCGAGCCGGGTGCAAGTCTGAGCAACGTCAATGGGAACAAAAAAAAGGTGGAGAACACAAAAGGCAGACAGAAACAAACAGATTCAAACACTGTAGATACCTGTAGATCCTCAAATCGATCCATTCTCATCTTGAAAATCCGAGACAAATTCAGGCGAGGTGCCATAGCTCCAATCTGCAAAAATCCGTTCTGAGCCCATGCCTCTGAACTCATTCGTTGCATCGCAATGAACATGGGCACGAACAGGATTCGTGCGAAGGCCATCCCAGAGACAATCCAACCTTTTTCAATGCGAAGCACCTCAGCGTGCTGGGGTCTCATGACTAACGAATTCGGTATGAAACGGCCTCTTCAGAGGCTTCAAGGTCACATGACAAAACAAGGGCCCCTTCACCGAGTCTGTTTGAAGCTGGGCCACAGAGCACTGAGGCGCGAAGCGACCCACCACATCTATCATTTGGAACATGGCGATCAGCAGGGGAACCCGACTTCCCGGCGCAAATCCAGATGCCACACCTCTGTCGAGTCCAATGAATTGATGAATTGGTGAATTCTACAGAAATTCGGACTTCTGGTGCACCTGGAAAGATGGTGAAGGTGATGGTAAAGACAGCGCATACTGTGAGGGCCTTGCAAATCAGGGGTCACAATTCTGGTGAATGTCAAACACTGGTCATTTAATGTAAGTTGATGTTCATCAACTAACCAGAAGATAGTATAAACATGTTCGCTGCAAACCCCACGTTTTCCTTTGACATGCTCAAATCCCTTCGTAGGGCTAGCGTTTTTTTTACTTTCCAAAACCTAAAACCCTAAATTAAAACCCTAAATCCTAAAAACCTAAAGTCAAAATCGCTGTGTATAGCCAGTGTTTCATTCATCCTCCGGTGACAATTATATGATATTGTTTGGGGGCGTTATTTCGGTGTGGAAGAACGTGGGGTTTGGCGCCAACGTGGGGTTTGGCGCCAACGTGCCTGCGGCCATGCATTGCGCACCAGGATCTGACCGGAGGATCGAGCTCTGTTGAGCATTGGGCTACTGAACTGAGAAGCCTCACAACAAATGGAGTCACCGGATGCCATTGTTCAAAAAAATCGCGAAAAAAACATGAAATTGTATGGAATGTTGAAATGCTTTCAAGTTTTAAATGGAGATATGATCAGTTCCATCTCTTTTCACTTACGTGAAAGAAACTTTGGCCCTGGCCCCATCTGTACTGGACGAAATCTCCCTTTGAGGGCCAGATGGTTTCACAGCAATTGTCCGCGCCCGAACTGCCCTCAGCTGACAGCCGCAATGCAACAAATGTCAAGCCTCGAGCAAACGAACGCATAACGAACGCATGGAAAAGTGACATGGAGATTTTCAGATCGGATCATGCCACTAGATTCACTGCCATGCTGCGGGTGCGTCCGCATGGCAAACAACACGGGGATGCCGCCCAGCTGAACTATCGCAGAAGAGATGAAACTGATCATCAATCCGATCTTCGTCGTGCCCAGTGCCATTCCAACAATGCCACTGAGCCTTAGAAGACTCGGGAAAACCCAACAATTGGACTTTGCTGTCATCTGTTGCACGCATGCTGCTATATATCAAAATTCACCAAACCAAAACCTTCAAGCTGAACCCGAGTAGTGTACATTTGTTGCAACCAACCTAAACCGGCAAATGAGCGGTTCTCGTCGGACTCTCATCTAGAACCTAGACCCTGTATATAGGCAACAGTGGCAGGAGGCCTCCTCAAAAACGTGCAGATTCTCAGCTGAAATATGCTGAAGTAGGTTTTTAATCAAGTCTCCCTGATTCCCCTACCCATCCTTACTCTCTACTTAGCTGCGCTTGCAAACAAACGGATGAACTACTTAGTAACTACTTGTCTTCTCAGGTCAAGCCGCATTCCGCCCACTCCCTGACCAAACATCATGTCCTGGGCGAAGAAGGGTGAAAGACTTCCTGCTAATCCGAAAGCGCAGGCTTGCAAAACTCCTGCGTCGAGTGGATGGACAGCACAAGGAACAGCAAAGCTCAAAAGTGATCTTAACTGAATCTTATAATCTTAACGATTTTCACGGAATTGCTGAATTGCAGAATTGCTGCCTGTCTCTGATCTGTCTTGGCCTGTTTTCATTCATATGATATATATATATATGATATATTTATAATACGTATCGTCGCGTATATTTAGCGCACATGCAAATGCCGCTTTCTGCACTCTCGGCCTGAAGCTGCGCCCATCAACCTGAGGCACTCGGCAAGACAATGCATGCCCTTTGGACAAGCTGTGCGAATAAAAGACCAGTCCACAACTCCAAGCAACTCCAAGCAACTCCAAGCAGGGTGAAAGAACAACTAACATTCCCCGGTTGGAATTAGTTTGGTAGTCTTTTTCTGTCTGGATGTGATTGTTGGATGCTTGGGTGTGAAGATTTCAAAGATAGCCCTGGCTCTTTTCGAAAGGACACGGAAATACCGGGCCCCCGACGTGGTGCAAGCAACAGCCACTCCGAAACCTGTGCTCAAAGGCTCAGAATCGCTCCAACGGCAACATTTGCAGGAGCATAATCCAACAATCCAATATCATTAACTCTCCAAGACACTCCAACTTCAACATTTTTCTACATCTTCAACATCTTCAACTTTCACATTCTTGTACAAATGGTCATTTTCCTCTGTCTCTGCCAACGTTTTTCAGTTCGCCTGTGTCGATGGTTTCTGGAGTGGTGTAGACGTGGCACAAGAGGAGACCCAGCAACGACAGCGCCAGCGACACCGAGGAGACCTCTTTCGACCAAATCGGATCGATTTTTGGACAAAAAGTGGATGGAGAAAGTGGGATATGACAAATTACTATAAAATATATTGAAAAGTGGATGTGACATTTTAAACATGTGTTGAAGATGTATTGAAGTGTTTATTGAAGTGTCTAGTGTTACCAAGTGGCATTCCAGCGAAACGAAAAGGGAATGGTGGCCACCACGGTCCGTGAGGTAAGGATGAGCTGACTGATGTTCACCGCCAACGAGTACACGATGGAACACCAAAATGCCCAGCCCGCTCCACCGAAACGTCGCCCTAAAAAGATGTAGCAGTCGAAGCTGTGGGTGAAGGTCCTTACTGCTGAACAATAAGGGTCACCGAAAGGTCCTACACAGCAAACGCATAAAACACATTTTGAGACATCTTGAAACACATCAAGCAGTAAGAAACAGTGAGCATCACACCAAAACCACGTCAATCCTCACAATATTTCACCATATTCACATCTGCCAAGTGACAAGACCACCTGCCAGGCCAGCAACGAAGCAAGTCCCGTGTAGAAGAAAGAGCTGCGAAGGAGTCGGGACTGCGAGGGATCTGCCACGTTCACTGGCTCCACACTGCCGATGGACCAAGTCTCTGAATCGGTCACTGTCATGGCGACACCGGAAACCAACCAACGGGAAATCCAAGGGATTTTCCAATGGGAAACCAATGGGAAATTGGTTTCCCAAAATCATTGGATGGAAAGGATTGATTCGGATTGATGTATATTGATGTGGTGGTCCTCTCACATGACCTAATGGACCTAATTCACAGGTTGATTGTTAAATTTGTTGTGGCATGCCATGCATGATATTGACATATATTGACATATCCAGTGCCGCAAAAGCCACAGGAGTTTGTCTTGGTTGTCTTGGGCCTGAACATTTTAAACGGATTTCCATCAAAAGGTTGCGTCAGTTTCACTTTGTATATTTATGCTTTTGCACAACTTTACCATGGAGCAGGCATCCGACTCTACATTAGGTATCTGAAATCTACGAGAGTTCAAGATTGCAATCCATATAAACCACATTAAAACACCATGAAACTCTGTGCCGCCCATGTCTTCTCCCAACACAGTTTACCGTGTCACAGTGCAATGTGACGTCTCCATGTTTTTCTTGGCGCCGCGGCGCAACTTGGCGAAGTCACGGTGCAGTCACAGCCCTTTGCGCTGGACACGACTGACACGACGGACGCGGCACTTGCCTCACTGAAACAGCGACGTCTCTTGCTTGTCAAAGCAGGGCCTCAGTTGAAACACTTGTGCCATGCCACCATTTCTTTGGGGTCAGAATTTGTTGAAATGGTTTTTTGAATGTTTAAGACTTTAAGATATTGTTTGCCGAGATATTGCTAATTGAAGCGTCACTGGGATCAACACAGCTGCAGTGGAGGACACTGTTGCTTTGACTCCCAATACTGTCGGTCCTGCAACTGCGCTACACAAATCAACTTACCCTATATCGAAGATGTAACGTCATCAGATGGCCCCGATATTAAACAAAATCAAGGTCACAAGATTTCATGCATCCACAAACACCATCAAATCAATATTCAAGCATTCCAAAACATCGTAGGACCCATCTCTCGAAGTCTTCAGGCACTTTTTGATATTTTGGCTCAGCTAGGTCCACCTCGCTTGAAACCACCCGCCTCCGAGAGTGATGGGAATTTGTTGTCCAAGGCTTCTTTCAGCAGTTGCGTCACTTGCATGGGCCGATCGATCATGTTTCCGGCCTCAGTTTTTCCCGGTGCAACAGTCAGAGTATGTGAAACTCCCAAGGCCCGGGCCAAATGAAGCATCAAAGGCGTGTAGCGCTTCTTGTCGGAAAGCATGGGATACTTGTCCTCAGCACAACACCTGCCCTGAAGTGCGAGAAAAATTGCAATAATGACAACATACAACCACTGAATTCTTATGCCGGTTCTTTTTGGTGTCCCCTAAAGTTCGAACTGTTGGGCACAGAAACTGGGCACTGGAAACTCACACTGAGCCCAGTTCGTTGCTCTTGATTGCTCTGGCCAAGTGCATGATCCCATAGGAGCCCTGGAAATGGAATCGACAGAATTGATCAAAGGGTGGAGATGGTGGAGGAGGAAGTTGTCGCAACTTACCAGTGCCAACAACAGTTTGCAGGTTTCTGTTGATATCTGTTGATCTTTTCTTTGCCTCTTGGCCTTTTGATCCATGATCCTCCCAGTGGCCGTTTCCCTGGTCCTGCACTCGATTGTTCTTCATGTGAACCTGTGCCAGGGCAGGGCTTGGTGGCACCAGCAGGTTAGGGTCCCCAATTTTTCCTGTGAAGTTTGCAGCCCTTGACACGTCTTGACACATCTTGACACATCTTGACACTGCTCGGTATCGGTTCCGTTCTGAGGCCAGGCGCGGCAGAAACGGCCAGGCGCAACTCGGCGATGAAGTCCGAGATGGCGACCAAGGACCTCGACGCAGTCCCCACACCCGGCGCACCCGGCGCACCGGGCGCACCCGGCGGCGATTCGTCGCCAGCGTTTTCTGAGCCACGGGCGCTTCGGTCAACCGGTTGGCATCGAGATTTAGGCATCGGACCTTACCGTAGGATGATGCAGGATGCACATGAAACACCTGGACCAAAGTGCATTTGGAAGTCCGTCCTGTGAAATCCTGTTAGATCCTGTCAAATCCTCCTGAATCTGTCGTTGTTCTCCGTTTCATCGCTCAGAAACATGGAAGGCTCAATGAGGCTCACTGAGGTGCAGACATGCACGTCACAGCTGCGGAGAAGGTCGAGCAACTGCCGAAGACCAGCATCCTGTGCCGCTGCAAACTCGGTCTTGTGCACCAAGAGCAACTCAGCTGCTTTGCAAACCAGAGCCACGATTGGAGAGTTAAGAAAAATGAGAGAAAAAAACAAGACATCTTACAATGTTACAAGACATCTACATCAAGACGAAGACAGCATGTAAGCGCCGCAGCCGCTCTTTGTTCTTACACAGGGCCAGTGACAGGTCCCTGAAGCATACAGTCTGCACCTCGCAAATCTTAGCATCTCAGATGTCATCAAAGACGGTCTTTGGGACCTCTCCATCTGCTTCAGTGACGTCTGACATACAGTCGGATGCTTCTGTTCTCGCATCCTCATCCTCAGTGTCAGCGTCATCGTTGTCGTCCTCCATTTCCTAAGCCAAAGGCAGCTTGCAGTCCATGCGCGACCGCCCACAGCGTTTTATCATGTTTTATCAAAGGCAAAGTGGAAACTTTGAGTAAACATTGCCCCAAATCACTGAGAAATTAAATCATTTTCCCCAAAGAATGCAACATGATATAACTGATATAACATGATATAACCGTTAATATAACCATTGAAGCCACATCCACTGCAGCTGTGGCACCATCTCATCATCCACGAACTCGAACTCTGCCTCTTCCTTCACCACGCGAGCTGCAGGCAGCGGTGTGCGGATGCCATGAGCTTCGAAGTATTTCTCCGTGCGGATCTGAGCGATCAGCGCATCCAATTGATCCTGTGGGCTGCCACTGCCACGAGGCAGGAAAGATGATAACAACTCTGAGTAACATTGTAAATGTGATACATTAAATGTGATGCATTTTGCAATATTTCGCGCCCAAACGCAGAAGTACACCCATGATCTTGAAGTCTAGTAGGGTGAACGAGCCATCAAGAAATGCACAACATGTTCATACTACGTATTGCAAAAACGCATTGAAAGATAAGAACTTCAACGGTTTCAAATCTGCGTTTCCATGGAACCTTGCCTCTTCCATCTGGAGCTCCTCACCAATCATGTCGCACACTGTCTGCACCAAGTCTAAGACATCGGCGGAGGCGTTTTCGAAGACCTCAGAGTCTTCACTGCTCATGGAGACGTGCAGACGATGCGCAGGCGGCACAGATAGAGTGGATTGACCTTCAATTCGAAGATCAACAGATGGATACTTTCGCAGCACGTGTGCAAAGTGTGAGCCACCAGGACCTGTGATGAGTTCTCGCAAGTCCTGTCTTGAGCTGAACGCTGCCTCTGGCAACCAATATTTGCAAAATCCACGTGGAGCACTGGACACCGTGGGCAGTGCAGGTGCCGTGTACGGCGTGGGTTCGGGTGCCACTTCTTCTTCGAAGTGAGGCAGTTCTGGTCGCATCGAACCAGCTTTCAGTGGCAGCCACTCCACAAAGAATCCGCGGAAGGGTGGAGCCACCTGTGACTCCGTGGGCTTTCCACCCAAACGACCCAAGTCTGCCAACATCTCGTGCACCTTTTCTCTGCCATAAGGCAACTTCAACTGACGCATGGATTCAGAGAACCAAGCCCATGGGTACAACAAGTACAATAAAAGTTGTTCATCTTCCACCTGTCTTCGCACCACTCCCCGGAGACGTTTCAACACTTCCACCACGATGCCTTTGGGCAAATTGGACATCTGGCTCTTCACCAAAATCGTGGCGAAGTGATCCACCGCTACAGCACTCAGGCGAACGCCCTGCCCTGGCTGCAACGCAGCAAACGCTCCGCCATCGCTGGCGGTGGTCAAAGTGGCCCAAAGACCTGGGTTTTTGGCGTGTCATCATCTTTTCATGGTTAGAAAAAAAAGAAAACACAGCGACGACCATATTCCGAATGGATTTAAATAGATCTAAATCTATATAATCATGTATCAGAATCTATCATGATTCCAGTAGAATTTCTGTTTTGATGTGTCTTTTAAAGTTTTTTACATTTTAGCTCTGGCACCTGTGGGTCTCAGATCGTGCTCCTCGAACCAATAAGGGCTGGGGTAGCTCCACTCGCGCATCATCTTGCTGAAGCTCAAGGCCTTGGCGAGAGCAAACGACAGCGAACTCTGTTGGAACCGAAATGCCCCAAAAAACCTGAAGTATGAGTTGAATAATTGTGAGAAACATATGCTTTGAATGTTAAATCATGTTAACATGAAGAGAATCTGAGTTTCCAACAACGATCTCTGCTTGTTCTGGGGCATCGTCAGGAAGTGGTGGCTCAGCTGGTGTCACCTACACCCAGAAAACATAAGATCACTCAGGAGGTACATGTTTCAGCAATGTCCTGCAAAGCTTTAGTGTACAGAAAGGCAGGGAAGTAAAACATAAAAGCGGAGTTGGTAGAGACCTTAGTGCTTTCCTATTCCAAACTTTAGTGTGGCTTGAATGAGTCGATCTTACATGATGTTCCTCTGCTCTTTTTCTCCTACATTCATCTGTTCAGTCGCACCTGCAAGGTTGTCCTCCACTGTGTGTCGCTATCCAGCTCAATGGGCAGCTTGGCTTGCTTCAACCAGAGAAGCATGTCGTTCAAAGTCTGACCATCTTCTTCCGGAAAGCGAAACTTCAAAGGTTCGCCACTTTCTGGGCCACTGTGTCTGGGCAGCATGAAACCAAAAGGATGTGCCTCCGGCATTCTGGGATTATCCAAGGCTGGGCCTGCCTCACCCTTCTCCGCCAGCTCGGCATCCAACTCAGCCACAATCTCCTTGATGATTCTCCTCACAGACTTCCCTTGTTGTGGCACCTCGCCTTTCACTGAGATATGAAGTCGGCAATCTGTGGGATCCACTAACTCCATGTCTCTTCCACTGACTCCCAGGCCACGGAAGAAGACACGTGCACCACTTTCGCTCTCCATGCGTCGGTGATGCATACCACCTCGTCCAATGACTCGACTCAAAACATTCGAACCATACAAGCCCTTGGACAAAATGTTGTCCAAAAAGATCTTCTCTTGCCAAGGATATTTGTTCTCTGGCATTGGTGGGGGTGGATCTTTGGGCAACTTTGGAGCCACGTATGGTTTGGGCGCCGGGGTCGATGGTGGTGGGGGCACTGGCAACTCCACTGGCTGCTTGCTGGGTGGCTTCATATCCAGAATGGACAAGGCGACATCTTGAATCTCCACAGGGAAAAGCGTGTTGTGCTCATTCAGTTGCTTCACTAAATCCTGCACCTCCTTGTTGTGCTTGGCCAAATCGATGTCCGCAAAGCCTTCCAACTTGATCATCAGCTGCTCCAGGAGAGTGAGGACGTTGCGCTGTTCTTGGAAGGACTTGGACTTTTTCCAGTCAGTGACCCTCCTGCAGACCTTCTTCACGGATTCCAAGATGGGAAGCTCATGCCGTTCTCGAGAAAATCGACATCTCAAGGTGCAGTCATTGCCAGCATGGTTGCCATGACAATTCCAACACACTTTCTTGCGGAAGGGACAATCCTGGTGACGATGCTCTGCAGAGTCACAGTTCAAACAAAGCTGTCCCTGCAGGAAAGCTTCTCGGACCTTCATCCTGGTGAGTCGCAAAGGCCGATAGACTTCTGTGGCTTCGGCATCGGACAAGACGTCAGCGTCTGGGTCGAAGTCTTCATCTGGAGCATCGGAATCTGAGGATGCGACATCTCTTTGGTCCATCCCTTCTCGTGCAGCAAGGACCATCCCAGGATACCAAGGGGCTTTCCTGGGCTGCAGCTGGGGCATGGACAACACATGCATCGCAAAAGCTGCATTGGCCCGAAGTCCGGCTAACGCTCGGTTCAACAAAGGGCCCAATTTTCGGTTGGTCGTCTCCAACTCTTCCGCACTGGGAGCAGTCACAATCACCGATGCACTGGGTGTAACAGCTTGACAGCCCTGTGGCATGCCAGCACAGGCTGGTGAAGCATCATGGCCTCCTGTGGTTTGAATGATCACCACCGTCTCCAATGGAACATCTGTACCCCAATTCAGGGTCAGAAGGCCCAGCCACAGCTTGTCAGCCAATTCACGCCAGAAATCTGGAAGCCGTTGGACATCTGGACCACAAAGGCTGTGATGTGCGGAATGGGAATGCATTGGAATGTATCTTCGTGGAGTCCAACACCCTCGTCGGTACTCCACACTCACTTCCTTCCTCACCATCTTGCCCCTGTCATCCTCCAAAATGTAGCCATTCTCCTCGCAAGTCCATGGCAAATACCAACGGTCTTGAGCGCCCTCATTGTCCGAATCCATCTCATCCATACACTCGCGGACGCCACGACCAAGAGCATCTGTGAGATGAACAATGGCTTTGTCGAAGAGCTTCCGGGCATCTGGGGGACCATCTGCTGCAACAGTCAAAGAATCATCTTCACCGTCTCCAGCAGGGGGTCCTGACAGGCGGCAGTTCAAAATTTGAAAAGAAACATGAGAAACCTGCACTGCACTTCTTCTACCTACTGACATCTACTGACCTTGTAGCATCCTTGTAGCATCCTGTTTCGCGACTGATATCCTACAGCGACATCTGGCCTACAGCTACATCCCCACAGTTCCACAGTTCCCAGTCCTTTGACCTCAGCCCCACGGCAGAGGGTCTTCAACTTTGTCCAGCGACTTTTCTCGCCTTTCTCGGTGCCCGCCAACTGCTGTGTCAATTTCTTGCTTTGGGAACTGCTCAAACCCTGCAGCTCAAAGCGATAACTCAAAGTGGCTGGAACTTTGCGAGGACAATTCTCTTCCCAAGTGGTCAATCGTTTAGCTTCTTTCTGATCGAGACCTGAATGAAGTGCCGCGATCTCCATCAAAGGTCTCAGCAAGGCCGGCAAACGTTCCTTCAGTTTGCTGGACTCCTTGGAATCTTTCTCATCCACAGTTTCATTCTGAGAGTTCTTTTCTTTGTTTTCTTTATCAATGTCATCCTCCTTGTGCTCCTTGTCATCTTCTTTCTTCTCATTTTTGTCATTCTTGTCTTTCTTCTTCGTGGTCGGGAGTTTCGGTTCGATGTTGTACTTGTGACACACTGCCAGGTACAACGTCTTCTCTTTGCCCTTGTACTTCCCCAGCAACTCATCGAGCTCTCCCAACTTCTCCTTGTTGTGCTCCTCATAGATCTCTGCAATGAGTTGTTTGTATTTCTCAAAACTTGTCTTGGCCTCTTCCTCCTTTGACGTTTTGGGCTCAACGCGGTACTTCTCACAAATTCCTTTGTACACCAGCTCTTCTCTGCCCTTGTATTTCTGAAGGAGGCCTTCAATATCTGAAAGTTTGGAAGGGTTGTGTTCCTTGTAGATCTCTGTGATCAGGTCACGATACTTCTTCACCTTCTTCTCCTCAGATGTCATGGGGGAGCCTTTCGACTCCAAGTTGGGAGAGACCCGGTACTTTTCACAAATGCAAAGGTAAAGTGCTCTCTCGCGGCCTTTGTATTTGGCCATCAAACCATCAATGTCTCCAACCTTGTTTGGGTTGTGATCCTTGTAGAGTTGAACGATGAGTTCCCTCCAATGCTCTGGCCCTGCATTTTGCGGCACTCCTGGCAGTGCCAGTGGCGCTTGTGTGCCTTGTTTCTTTCCGGGCTTCGCCTGACTGGAAAACAGCCCTGCTGTCTTGGCACCAGGTCGTGCAGTGCGCCTGGGCCAAACGTCTTGCACGCAATCAGCTAACAGATGACGTGCCCCGGCTTGGCTTCGACTGGTGATCTGGCAGAGCTCCATCAGCAGATCGTAGTCTTCCTCCGTGGCGGAGCTATCCAAGAGCCACAGCATGCACAAACCATCCGTCAACAGCAGCTCCATGGGTGCGAAGATGGGCAGTGTATTCTTCTCCAGCTTCAAACGAAGCACCTGTAAAGTTCCAGGGAAGATCTTTTCTCATTTAAGATTCGCACAATTTGAAGGAACACATTGAACATAAAAATCTGAAGATGACAAACTCAGCCAGTATGCTGTGATTTCCGATATTTAACGCCAATACTCTTATCAGGACCTCTGTTTATGAAGAACCCATCTAATAGCTGTCGTTCCAAAAGTGCCTTTGCTTCCGACCCCGGATGTCCCTGAAAACATTTCAACAATTTTCAACATCACTTCATCCAGAAGTGGTTCAACAAATTGAATTTGGCAGTTACAACATCCATTAATATCCACATCAATATCCATATCAACATCAATATCAATAATCTATAAATATATCCCCCCATAGCAATATCCCACAGCATCCCTGTGTTACTTTCCCCTGCCTCCACGAGCTCCTTGGCCTTGGCCAATTTCTCGGTGGAGAAGCGCAGCAGGTCTTTGCCCACGGCCTCGTGGAGATTTCCCACGAAGTCGCGCAGGCGATGCTTGCGATCCGAGGCGAAGCGCTGCATCTCCGCGGCGTCTTTGCCCAGGGGCCGTGGGAAGCCTTTGCCAAAGCCTTTCATTGGAAAACCTGCCGTTTTTGAAGGAAAACACCACATGTTGATTTGGAACATGACTATCTATATATCTTAAATATATATATATACATATTATAAATAATGCTTTAATAAAATGAAGTTTTGAGCTCATCCAAACCAATATATGAAATGCAAACAACTGATAAATATGTTACTTTTTGGGATGCCGCTTTTGAAAGCCCGGACCTTTGCCCGGAAAACCCTTTGCCGGATCAAACCATGGAGGAGGTCCCACTGGAGGTCCAAAGGGTGGCATTGGAGGTGGCATTCCTTTGCCAAAACCGGGTGGTGGCATTCCTTTGCCGGGCATCATGGGAGGCAAACCTTTCCCCTTGCCATCCATGGGTGGAAATGGCATGGGTGGCATCATCCCAGGCATCATGCCTGGCATCATACCAGGCATGGGTGGCATTGGCATCTCATCACGATCCGAATCCGAACTGTCTTTACCCTTCTTTTTTCCATCACTGGAGCCACGTCTTCGCTTCTTTTTCTCCTTTTTCTTCTCCTTCTTTTGCTTTTCTTCGCCATCACCATCCTTTTTCTTCTTTCTCTTTCTTCCTTCACCTTCTCCTCCTGCTCTCTCCCGAGCTGCCCGCTTCAACGTAGCTAATTCGGAGCCAATGTTCTCATCAGGCTCCCAGGAGGGTTCTGCATAGCCTTTCCATCGCACCAAGTAGAGGTCTTTTCCATCTGAGTGCCTGACAGCAACACGAGACAATAAGTGCCAGCCTTGCTACCCAACAAACGTGCCATCAATCAAAAATGAACTGCAGCAAGCCTTCAACTATCAACCATTTTCGTCATCAAGTGTATACCCAACCCAAAAACTTCAACAACATTAAACTATTCAAATCTTCTATAATCTTTCCAGATTTCTTTAGATTTCAGATTTCTTACCCTCTGCTAAACTAACATAACTATGGAAAATCACCATGTTTAATGGGTACATCAACTATAAATGGCAATTTTCAATAGCAAATTATGTTAGTTTACCAGAGGGTAATCACCTTTCAGATCTTTCATCTGGCCTGTAATCCAGGAGATCTTCGACCTCGAAGACCTCATCCTCCATGGTGCCGCTGCGATGGCCCCTTGAGCCAACTGCAAAAAAACTGGCGCTTTTTCTGCGGAAGGAAGTCTCCGAAATCAACTGGTTTCATCCCATTTGATGAATATATATATATATACCCGTTGGCCATTGAACATAGCCATGGTTTTTCGATGGCCCATAGAAATAGAGGTTTACCGAACCTAAAAATGGGTGGATTTTCCATGGCTATGTTAAATAGCCAAATGGTATATATATATAATGCTGCCCAAAAAGGAATGACAAACAGGAGCAACATGCAATGATGAACTAAACTCTAAACACATCACCACATCACGAAGTTCCGAAGTCAAGTTGGCTCAAGATGTTCGGTTACAGCGTTCTGCCTCGAGAGCATTGCCTGAAAAATTCAAATCTGCGTTGGAGAGCGGTGCTCCACCAGCACCTGGCATAGCGGCTAGAAGGTTTGTCCCAAACTCGAGTAGCACAGAATCAAATGGCATCAGGATCCACAAAAATAAATAAACACACAAATAAACACACAAATAGAACCTCGTAATTTTGAGTCGCACATTGCCAAATGCCTTTGGGGACCATTTTGAGTCGAGATTTTGACACAGCGATCGCTCCAAGGCACTGCCCAAGGTCTTCAGTAAGCTGGGTGCCCATTTGCACCATCTGGCGAGGCCAGTATCACCCAGTTGCAAAGAACCTGAGGCCAGGATCACCCGCAAATACCCGCAATGTCAGGCATATAATAACCATATAATGACCATTCAAAAACCATCATGGGATGATGAAATTATGAACAAAATGATGAAAAAATGATGAAACATGTGAAGACCTACCGTAGATATGAAAACCCCGAGCTATTTCAAGCTCTGAATCAAGCTCTCGGCTCATGTCGGCTCTGAGAATTCCATCATGGAAGGTGAATCTGTTGGCCCAGGCAGCCTGAACAAAACAGGAACGGCTTCGCCAGGATGGAGCTATGGCTGCTGGATGCATCAGGTCCCAAGAATAGACACATCAAGCAACATCGACATGGAACGACACATCAAGGAACTACCCAACACGAACTAAGTGGAAGACTATGACCCAAAAAATGTTCCAACAGTCCTGGTGCCTCCTGTTGCTTGATGACCTCTGGCGTCAACTGAGAAGCCTGAGGCTTTGGGAGAAGTTCTTGAAAGTTCCACATATTCATGTTTTTTCGTCAAAAAAAACACGATTTTCCATTATCCCAAGCTGCCCAAGCTGCCCAACCACTGGGCAGTTATAATAAGTTGCTGACTTTGGCCCAAGCCACCGGGGCCTTAAACACCGGCGATGGAAAGACGTGCCAACAAAAATCACAGCCCTTGGGCGACAACCGGAGCTGCCAGCATTCCTGGCCTCAGAGCAGGGCCAACGGATAGCTCTCATACTAAGATGGCCCTATGAATAACTGGGTCATATCCATATTACACCCCAGCCATAAAGAAATATCAATCAAATAAGCACACACACAGATAGATAGATAGATAGATAGATAGATAGATAGATAGATAGATAGATAGATAGAGATGATATACAATATATGATATATGGAATATCCTCATGTATACATGGGTTATAAATGGGTTATAAATGGGCCATATCTGGTTGAAGAACGAACCATGCTATGACTGAGGTCTCAGCACAGCCATGGGAGCTACAGGGATCATCCCAGCCGGAGGGCTTGTCTTGGGAGGTGGCGGCCTTCAGCAAGCGATCAAACCGGGGTAAAAACCATGGGAAATATGGAAATTCCATGGGAAAATATGGGGAAAACATGGGAAAATCACCGCTGTTTTACAGTTTTGGATGGTGAAAACTCTGAAAACCGCAAAGATTTGAAGACTTAAACTGGTAAACTATTGACGACAAAACGAAGTGGTCAAGTTTTTCACATGAAGCAGCGAATTCGACGTCAGACTGCAAGACCTGGACTGTCCACACTGAGGATCACACACCGGCAAATGCATCACACTCGTTGCAGGCAACATGTGAGCCTCAGCTTTCGCCCCCCAATCCTTGTTTTCTAGTAGTTTTCTACGGATTCTATGGTGTTTTCTATGGTATTTTTGAAAGGTTTTCTGCAAGAAATTGACAATTTCATCTGGGTTTCCAGCCTGCACTGGCATGGCTTTGGATTGAACTCCGCGATCTGGCTGTACCAAGTGCCTCGCTGCAACGTGGCGTTCCACGTGGCATTCCACGTGGCGTTCCACGGCTAGCGGCAGTGGCTAGCGCCAAGTTGCATGAACTGAGGAAACTCCGAGCTGAAGAGTACCTGAAACCAGTGGAAAAGATTGGAAAAGGTGGAAAACAAGGCATCTTAGGTCGCTTTGTCATGGTACATGCCTCTGTAAGATGTTTAATTTTTGCATCGCCTGACAACTGGCACAGTCTTCCCATATGGAAGGTGAACATTGGTGAACTCGGTAGGCACCCGGTTGGCTGGAGACAAACTGTTCCAAAAGGTCGACACAGCATCTGCAGTTGCAGAACCGTCCTGCAATGGTGCCCCAATGGTGACACACTAGATCTTACTAGAGTTACTAGACATCTCCGTGTCACCAGATAATACAGCGGAAAAAAAACTGACGAAAAAAAAATGCCAACACCTTAGAATCTTCTCCTGAAGCTGTTGCATCAAAGCACGGAGTTTGGCTTGGTATTCGGTGTTTGGGTCCGGCTGTACCTGGGCTGCAAAGTCCCCAACGATATCACTCGGAAGGTCTCAGGCCCTGCCTTGGGAGGTGGTGTTCCTGGCGGCACTGTCCCACATGGAAACCGTAAGGTGCAGTGACATCCATATGTACCAGCCATTACAACTTCTAAACATCAAACAGTCGGACATCATCAGTATGTCATAGGACATCATCAATTTTTAGCCACTGCCACTGAGTTCACATTACCCAACCCATCAGACCCATCCAACTTGGCGCCTGGGGAACTCTTCACCGCTGCTTTCTTCTTGGCCGCCGGTTTCGCCGCCGCTTTGGGGCGCCGCTTCTGGCGCAGATGGCGCTCCACCCCGCGGTACCTGGAGCCGCTGAGCCGCGCCGCTGAGCCAAACGGGGATTTGAAGAGTTGATCCCAGCCCACCTACAACCGAAGATACGATATGAATGTAGTATATCCAATAGATAGATAGAAATCATCATGTATATATATATAAATGTGTATATTATATAGCTATATATATATATGTCTTACATATATGTAAAGATCTGTGGATGTCATGTTGTTTTGGCGGAACCCCCCAGCCTTCACAATCCACGGATGATCCACTCATTTTCAGATAGTTTCTCAGAACCAACCTTGACCAATAGTTGATGACAAACAAGTACTGGCAGTGAAAAGTGCATGGATTCATCTGGGCCAAAGTAATGAACTATACCCAAAGTGGAAATTTTTACATCAAGAAACGACTTTTGTTGCTATTTTCATAAGTCATAAACATAACGGTTGGCCTTATTGTCATCTTACGAAGACCCGTCGTCGTCATGAAAACTTCCCCATCGGATGGCGCACTTCGTTGGATCGACGATGACATCCTCCGGCAGCACCAGCTGTGGTGGTGGGCGCCACTCCACCAGAATTCGCACCGAACGCGCGGCGGTGCCCAGGAAGATCAGGAAGGTACTGAGACAAAATCCGAAACCAAAGAACCACAGTTATGCTAATGGTACGTAATGGTACAAAAGGGATGGCTTGAATATCAAGATGAAGCTGGAAGTTTGTAGGAGCTGAAGTATGCTGAAGTGGCTCTTCTTGAAACTAGAGGGACAGTTTCAGAAACAACCAGCGAAACCATGGCGAAATGGACAGTTGACTTAGTTGTGGTACATCTCAGGGAGTCCCAGCAGTCCTTGTCCCGCTTGGTTTGCCATCTTGAGCCGTGTCTTCTAGCGGATCTTGAGGATTTGCTCCACCAGCACCTCCAGAAAACATCGCAAAAAAAATGATGTCTCTTTTCCTCCAAATCCCCGGTAAAACAATGTCATTTTTACCACCCATGACTGGGAATAGTTTATACTAGTTCATACGACCTATTTATGTTGATTTGGGGGAATTTGATAACAAATATATCAAATATCAATATCAACCACCGCTTCGTTGAAGGGTGGCCTCCAGCTGAACTGCGGCCAGCCCTGCGGCTCCGCAAGACATTGCTGGAAAGCTTCCGCTTCTCCCAGCGGAGCGACTCCTCAACTGCCACCTGCAGGTGGAAAAATGGGGGTTCCCCCAATGGGGAGATTCCTTTGTCGAAAAAAACCTCAACGATTGCTATTGAAAATGGGACACATCATGATAGTGTCTATATATATACATATATGATCATACATACTTTGGGATTGGATAACCTGATGATAACATCATGGCAACATCACCAAATGATGATCCCCGTCGAAAGGACCACGGGATCCAGTCCTCTGAAGGGCTGGCCCAACCACGTGTGCTGCCCCAACGCGGAATGAGGAGAGGCACAGCCTCACAAGACAAAAATCTTCAATTCAAAGAATCTAAGTTATTATGAGTTGAGTTATCTAAATTTTCACCTAATTTTCTATCTAAGTTTGTTTAAGTCCTTGTGGGTTGGACGTGAGACCTTCTCAGTATGGAATTTCTGGTGTCTCAATAGTCTCAATCTAAGCTTTTTGCAGGGCCCTCCTCTCGTGCTTCCGGTGCTTCCGAAGGATTAGCCTCAGAGGTTGCCTGACAATCCACATGACTGGCACTCTGGAAATCCAGCGATTTCCAGGGCATTTTATATTCATTTTTTTTTAAATATATATATATATATATATTTATACATTTTTGATGCTTCCACTTTCGACATTTTCAGGACATTGGACACAGCCACTGGACACAGCCACACCTCAATTTCGCTGGCATCGGGGTCAACTGTTCCCTTGCCATCGCCCTCTCGAATCTGCTGGACGGAGGATTTCATCTGCACTGCTGGATCGATTTCCAACTGGTACAGAGCCATCCAGCCCACCTTTGGTCCACACCACCTGAGAAAAGATCGTAAACATCATCAACATCATAGTCATCCAGAAAATCATCCAGATCTGAGTTGTAAACATCCAGAAAATCAAGGCCTGGCCTCTGCATGGAGTGGTGCAAAGCAGCCCTGGGCCTTGCGGGCCCTGGTGGGTACCATTTCACCTTCGACAACAACCAGTGGATCTGCAGGAAATGCCATGGAAATGCCATGGAAACCATCACAAACCGACCAAGAAAATTAACCAAAATATAGATAGAGACTATTTGAGACATGCAGATATCAACAACAGAATATTCTATCATCATATCATATCAAATCATCAAATATTAAACTCTTTCGGATTTGGATCTGCAATGATCTGAGCAACTGGCCTTGGGCATGCTGATGTCCTCGTGAAGGTCAGCTGTGCACGCAATCTCCCATCTTTCGAAGCTAAAACGCATCCAGTCCCTTGCTAAAACTTCAATCCCGAAACATCGCAACAAACTAGGTAGCAAGTCACTTTTTTCTACCTTTACATACCTTTACCAGGCTATACTCAGTTGCTCTCTTGGGTTCTTATATGGTTCTTATCTGCATCAGCTCCTCCACACCTTTCCCCAATTCGATGATTGGTCGTCGTGCCACTGGAGCCTCAACATGCCACATGAAGGATTCACACCCTGAAATCGCAAATGAAGTGGACATGATGATAAATACATCGAGTATACATGGATATAAGAGGATAGAACACCAAAATACATCTCCATCATCTCTGTTTTGATGATTTAAATATATTTTAGAGAAATTCTTACATCACACGACGTGTCTATATATAAATTATCGTCCTTTGGATCCACTAGATCCTTTGGGGATTCGGGCCAGCCCCTCTTCGCCTCTCCAATCTCTGCATCCTCGTCCTGGCTCTCTGTCTCGCTCTCCTGGACACATCAAAAGACACAGTGACATAAAAACGACATGAACATTCATGAACAACGACATGAAAACTATCTGTGCAAAAAAAATGTGCAGTCTACTATTGTCACATATTAAATACATATTATTACTATGATCCGCTCCTCACCCTCTGAAGTGCGAGTCGTTGCGGAGCCGTCATCGTCATCTGGCACTGCAATTTGTGCTGGGACCGTTTTCAGGATGCCCGGGGCGGTCGTCTTCAGAATGCCCGGCTGAGGGAGGATGCCAGGGACAGGGACGGTGCTTTTCAGGATGCTGGGCTGTTCCAGCTCTGGTTCTTCTTCTTCCTCTTCTTCTTCTGATTGCTCCTGCTCTCCTTCCTCTTGCTGCTCCTGCGCTGCTTAGCCATCTCAAACCGGACTTGAAACGAAACTGTTGACTTATGCTGACTTCCCGCGAGCTACAAGAAAACTATCGAAAACTCAGAAAAATCGTGCTATCTGCCACTGTCTGCCACCACTCCTGTGCCTTTGGTGCTTCCAATTCTCGTCCCTCCAAGTCCTCTGATTCCTCGAAGGCAACGCAGAATTCTCCCACTGATCCACAGCCGACATCTGTGCGGACAACACATCAACTGCTCTGTCGATGCTCAAGGCCTCTGAAGAATCGGACTCTTGAGCTGCCACTTGTGGCTGTTGCCTGAAGCCCGAGACCGGCAAGGATCAACCAGGGGCAGATGGCACTAGGCTCAATGGCTCTGCATCTCAGTTCGTGGCATGTTGCGAATCCATGCCTGCAAGTGGGTGTACCAGGTGTATTCATAGATATTCATAGAATATCATGACTTGATTGCCATGTTGTATCATGGTTGTATCATGTTGTCATGTTGTGCCTGACTCATGTCACCAGGCACTGACTGCATGGGCCACACCCCAAAGGGGGCTCCAGCCTGACTGCATGGCACTGCGTGGCATGGCCCAGAGGGGCAAGAGTTGCCACCGTGGCCCCAAAATGATCATGGATGCATCCCCAAACATGCTCAAAAACCAACCGGGCTAAGTCATTTCCACATACGACATAACCGGAATGATTAGATGATTAGAGTGATTAGTGATTACCAGCAAAACAGTAGTAAACAGCAGCAAAATCATAGAACAACTTAGTCAGTGCCGAACTAATCTGACTGAGTCTGTGACCAGCTGAGAACTCCATGGGTGATATGAACCCGCAGGCCACACCTGCCATGCCTGGCAGTTGCAGCAGTTGCAGGTTTTGGCTGGTGCTGTCATTGCAGCCCTGAGGAGCCCTGAGGAGCCCTGAGGTGCTGACATCTGGAGGAAAAATCCGTTGACGCCTGAGGTGGTGAAAAATGGGAGGCCCATAGGAGGGACTCTTGGGGATACTGAGTTACTGGGCGCGAAAGAAAAGGCTGCGGCCTTCTGCGATGTCGCGAGCGCGACTCACTTCTCGGCCTCTCCTTCCGTCGCCTGTCAATCTGTTCTATGGCAGCTGGGACAATCCATGACAATCCTAAACAAAATATAATCCAAAGGTATCTCAAGATGGTCATCTAAGATGGCAAATGATCTTCATCCCAATTTCTCCAAGTTTTAGGTGACCCATGGTGACCCAAAGAACTGCAGCTCTGGCCATGGCCTACGATCTCGGGTCTCACTGTCAGACTGAGGTTCAGCCACCTGGCAGCTGGCACCGTCCGAGACACGGAACCACCGTCACAAGAACCCGGAAGCGTCGATCCAACCTGCGCCATCTGCCTGGCATGACACAGATACAGATCAGACATTGCCAAAGGTTCAAGCTCAAAAATCAACATAAAGAAATCAAAGGTAAGCACAGATAAGCAACATTAAGCAACATTAAGCAACAAGACAATCAAAATCACAACATGCCCAAAGTGGGACGGAGCCGAACCGTGCCGCCGTGCCTTTCCCGATGTCGTCCAGATGCCTTTGCCCCACCTCCACAACGTCACAACATGATCGATTCATGGCACACATGGCGGCAGCTTCAGCAGCCGACCTCGTGGTGCTGCTTCGGCTGCTTCGGGTTCATCCGCTGTTTGCCGTGGCAGATCTTCAGATTTGGACCTGGCAAATGGCTACGTGCAGCACGTGCAGCACGTGCAGCTCGTGCAACGTTAATCCAATTGCCTCTCTGCTCGCTTGGATTTCTTTTCTTTCCGCCTGCGAGTTCGTGCTAGATCTGTCCGCTACATCCAGCAGGCATTCAACGAGCAAACTGTTATGAACTTGATATGACAACCATGGAATCCTCGATTCTATACTTTGAGGCAATCGTCCAATGTCACTTGAACTCACGGTTTGTGCCTGGTGGCAGGGACCTCTTTCTTGGAGGCTTTGTCCTTCTTCTCCTCGACTTTTTCAGGCTCCCGATGCTTCGAAGTGGCCTTTTTCTTTTCCTCTGGCAGACTCACAGTATAATGACTACAATACTGAATACATGGTGCATCTGTTGACTTCCACCTTGACTCACATCAAGAGAACAATTTTTGATGTGCTGAACGTTTGCTCGGAATGGTGTGGTGAAAATGTGCGAATCTGCGCCTTCTCGGATTTATTTCGATTCTTTTCCGCCTTCTTCTCCTTTTCCTTCTTAGATTTGACATTCTGAGATTTTGGCTTTGGAGGGGAAGGCGGCTGCACCTTACACGTGTCGAAGCGCCAAGGCAATGGTGGTATGACCATCAGGGTTGATACAATGTTGTCCTTGACATTTTGGGGACCGATTCTGCGCAAGGCACTTCAGCATCTGAAGGTTCCTCCGGTTCTTCAGGAGGTTTCTGAGGTTCTTCTTCCTCGTTTTGCTCGTCTTTCCTCTGCTTTTCTTTGTGTTTCTTTTCTTTCTTCTCCTTCCTCAGGAAACCCGCTGCCCAGTCCTCTTCCATGAGGCTAGCTGTGAAACAGAAGTGCAAAACAAATGAGGCAGTGACTTCTTTTTCTTCTTCCCATCGCCTGACAAAATGCCCAGACATGCCCAGACCACATCCCAAATCCGCAAACTTCACCGGCAGTGCCCGTCAAAAACGACACTCAACCATTGGACCGTTGGATTATCGGGTCCTTTCTCATCTTGGACCTGCTCTGCATGTGATCCTGCACTTTGGTGTGCAGCGCAAGGCACACGGCGCAACTCAAAACACCCAAAATGTCACACAACATCACAAGATATCACAAGTCTTCAACCAGGACATCGAAAAACAGCGATCTCCTCCAGTCTGCTTCACCTGAACCATGTCTGGAGTCAATCTATTCCAAAACTTTCCTTGGATAAAACATGCTTGAAAATAGCTTGATGTCTTCTGTCACAGGGAGTCACAACTGCTGGTAAAACCCTGAGAACAATTGATAGTTGCCATACTGCGCGGGATGCCTTCTGTTCAGCCTTTTGCTTTTTGCGAGGCGCCTGGCATAAGACCGTGATAAAACATGGCTCTAGAAATGCCATGCAGCAGGAAAACTCCAAACATGGAAAAGATATCAAGGCGGCATGTCTGGAACTTAGTGCTACACCAAATCCAGCTGGTGACTTTTCATGGCAGTCTCAACCAGATTTTTTTTGGAGGTATTTGGAGGCAGGCATTCTCAAAAGTTCTCAGCTGTTCTTGCACGAAGGCCCATGGTTTTAACCTGCTCTTCTTTGGAACGCTTGGCTTTTTCAGCCTTTTTAGCCTTTTCAGCTTTGTCGCCTGGGGCTTCAAGATCAAACTCTTAATTGTCTTAACTTCTCTGAACCTGTGAATGAAGCAGTGCCACAAAATATGCTGAGGCTTGAAGCCAGCAGAGTCATGGCAAAAAATGAAGACATCGCAAGGGGAAAAACAGAAACTTCTGAAAGAACATGTGAGTCGGATTCACTGCCAAGCCCAAAGGGACAGGGAAAATCACAGGAAAACCGTTTCTAAAACGCGTCTTCTGGCCGGTTGTGACTATTGGACAGGCAACACCGGCTTGAAGCTGAGCCCTCAACCCTTCAACTTGTCATGTTTCCTTTCAGATGTGTTCTTTGCCAACCGGCATGCGTCGAAACAAACTTGACCATCTGGAATTGATCTTCAAACAATTGTGATCGGGACGCGATACCCATACTCAGTGATACTCACACTAATCAATTTATACTACCTATAGCAATCTGACATTTCACCAATTTCACCACGAATCACCTAACATCTGATTCGACTGTCGGCTCCTTGGCTCCGAATCCTGCGATAAACACCGAATCTGGCACTGCAACTGATGTGAAATCAGGGCCCACAGCTAGGTGGGAGAAAGGTAGCACTGAGGCCACACAGGCCACAATGCCACACCGAGCCTTCCGACCTTCCACCTGGGATGATCAGATGAGATGTGATGAGATGAGATGATCAAAATGATCAAATTTACATGGTGAATTTTGGTGTTTTGATTGCATGTCATGAATTTACATCCTTTACATGTCACATACATCCACTTTCAGTGCCATGATCCCCGAAGTTTCTGCCTCTGCATGACCGCGCAGGACCAGCGCATTCGCCGGAGTCAGCCGTGGCCTGCAAGAATGTGGACGCTGTTTGAAATTCCAGTGCAAAGCATACAATAGTGAAGAGGAACAAAAGATAAGAACAGAAATGAACAGAAATAAACAGAAATAAATCAATCATATAAACACTAGAGTCATCTAAAGTCATCTGGAGTCATCTAGAGTCACTGGACACCAAAACTGCCTTTTTTCGCGTTGTCGAAGGACTGCTGCTCTTGGCTCGGCGAACACCTGCCTCCACGGTGGCAAGGTGCTGGAGATGATGAATTGTCAAAATGGGATGGTGAATTATCATAATGATGGTTAATGGATTTTTGATCATGTTCATGTTCATCCCAATTTTTGATGATTTTTTGATGATTTTTGACTTTTGATGAGGAGATTCGAAAAAAAATCAAAAACAAAACCACTTGGACCACTTGAACAAAATCTGTTCATCCAAGCCTTGACTCTGGCGATGAACTTTTTCGCCTCACGGGAAGATCCGATTTTGCAGCACCGGTTTTGGACCGGTTTGGGTTTCGAGAATGCTCTGTAACACTACCAGCATTTGAACCAAGCTGTTTCTCCTGCATCCTGTGTGCAGTAAACGATGCCCAAGATAGCCTATCTCTGCAGCGTTTTGCTGCATTTGTGCCAATGTAACTCCTCTAAATCTCCATCTAAAAAATCGTATCATTTCAAGAGCGGCCCCTGCATACAGCCCGTCCTCTTCGAATCACCTGAAGGGAAACGTGAAGCAAATCATCCAACAAGGACACTTCAAACATAGGCACATGCACATAGACATACTACACGCACAAAATGTGTATATAAATATAATCATATCACAATCATATATATATACCCGAGAAGGGGGGAACGAAAGCCAGCATCCCATCTATCCCTATGTTCCCCAATATTTTTCACCCAGAGACTCTTCACACAGAAACCCTTCTTGCACATACTTTTCACCCAGAAACTCTTCACCCAGAGACTCTTCACCCAGAAACTCTTCTTGCACATACTTTTCACCCAGAAACCCTTCTTGCACATACTTTTCACCCATATAATTTTCACCCAGAGACTCTTCACCCAGAAACTCTTCTTGCACATACTTTTCACCCATATACTTTTCACCCAGAGACTCTTCACCCAGAAACTGTTATTGCACAGACTTTTCACCCAGAAACTCTTCACCCAGAAACTCTTCACCCAGAAACTCTTCTTACAAATACTTTTCACCCACATATTGTCACCCATAGACTCTTCACCAAGAAACTCTTCTTGCACATACTTTTCACCCATAAACTTTTCACCCAGAAACTCTTCACCCAGAAACTCTTCTTGCAAATACTTTTCACCCACATACTTTTCACCCATAGACTCTTCTTGCACATACTTTTCAACCATATACTTTTCACCCAGAGACTCTTCACCCAGAAACTCTTCTTGCACATACTTTTCACCCATATACTTTTCACCCAGAGACTCTTCACCCAGAAACCCTTCTTGCACATACTTTTCTATACTTTTCACCCAGAGACTCTTCACCCAGAAACTTTCTTGCACATACTTTTCACCCAAATACTTTTCACCCAGAGACTCTTCACCCAGAACTCTTCTTGCACATACTTTTCTCCCATATACTTTGCACCCAGAGACTCTTCACCCAGAAACTCTTCTTGCACATACTTTTCACCCATATACTCTTCACCCAGAGACTCTTCACCAAGAAACTCTTCTTGCACATACATTTCACCCATATACCCTTCACCCAGAAACTCTTCACCCAGAAACTCTTCTTGCACATACTTTTCACCCATATACTTTTCACCCAGAGACTCTTCACCCAGAAACTCTTCTTGCAAATACTTTTCACCCACATACTTTTCACCCATAGACTCTTCTTGCACATACTTTTCAACCATATACTTTTCACCCAGAGACTCTTCACCCAGAAACTCTTCTTGCACATACTTTTCACCCAAAAACTCTTCTTGCACTAATTTTTCACCCATATACTTTGCACCCAGAGACTCTTCACCCAGAAACTCTTCTTGCAAATACTTTTCACCCACATACTTTTCACCCATAGACTCTTCACCAAGAAACTCTTCTTGCACATACTTTTCACCCATATACGTTTCACCCAGAGACTCTTCACCCAGGAACTCTTCTTGCACATACTTTTCACCCATATACTTTTCACCCAGAGACTCTTCACCCAGAAACTCTTCTTGCACATACTTTTCACCCATATACTTTTCACCCAGAGACTCTTCACCCAGAAACCCTATTGCACAGACTTTTCACCCAGAAACTCTTCTTGCACATACTTTTCACCCATATACTTTGCACCCAGAGACTCTTCACCCAGAAACTCTTCTTGCACATACTTTTCACCCAAAAACTCTTCTTGCACTAATTTTTCACCCATATACTTTGCACCCAGAGACTCTTCACCCAGAAACTCTTCTTGCAATACTTTTCACCCATATACTTTTCACCCATATACTTTCACCAAGAAACTCTTCTTGCACATACTTTTCACCCATATACTTTTCACCCAGAGACTCTTCTTGCACATACTTTTCACCCATATACTTTTCACCCAGAGACTCTTCACCCAGAAACTCTTCTTGCACATACTTTTCACCCATATACTTTTCACCCAGAGACTCTTCACCCAGAAACTCTTCTTGCGCATACTTTTCGCCCATAAACTTTTCACCCACAGACTCTTCACCCAGAAACTCTTCTTGCACATACTTTTCACCCATATACTTTTCACCCAGAGACTCTTCACCCAGAAACCCTTCTTGCACATACTTTTCACCCATATACTTTTCACCCAGAGACTCTTCACCCAGAAACTCTTCTTGCACATACTTTTCACCCATATACTTTTCACCCAGAGACTCTTCACCCAGAAACTCTTCTTGCACATACTTTTCACCCATATACTCTTCACCCAGAAACTCTTCACCCAGAAACTCTTTTTGCACATACTTTTCACCCATATACTTTTCACCCAGAGACTCTTCACCCAGAAACTCTTCTTGCACATACTTTTCACCCATATACTTTTCACCCAGAGACTCTTCACCCAGAAACTCTTCTTGCACATACTTTTCGCCCATATACTTTTTACCCAGAACTCTTCACCCAGAAACTCTTCTTGCACATACTTTTCGCCCATATACTTTTCACCCAGAGACTCTTCACCCAGAAACTTTTCTTGCACATACTTTTCACCCATATACTTTTCACCCAGAGACTCTTCACCCAGAAACTCTTCTTGCACATACTTTTCACCCATATACTTTTCAACCAGAGACTCTTCTTTCACATGCTTTTCACCCATATACTTTTTACCCAGAGACTCTTCACCCAGAAACTCTTCTTGCACATACTTTTCACTCATATACTTTTCACCCATAGACTCTTCACCCAGAAACTCTTATTACACATACTTTTCACCCATATACTTTTCACCCAGAGACTCTTCACCCAGAAACTCTTCTTGCACATATGTTTCATCCATATACTTTTCACCCAGAGACTCTTCACCCAGAAACTCTTCTTGCACATACTTTTCACCAATATACTTTTCACCCAGAGACTCTTCACCCAGAAACTTTTCTTGCACATACTCTTCACTCATATACTTTTCACCCATGTACTTTTCATACAGAGACTCTTCATCCAGAAGCTCTTCTTGTACATAGTTTTCACCCAGAGACTCTTCACCCAGAGATTCTTTACCCGAAACTCTTCTTGCACATACTTTTCACCCATATTCTTTTCACTCAGAGACTCTTCACCCAGAAACTTTCTTGCACATACTTTTCACCCATATACTTTTCACCCAGAGACTCTTCTTGCACATGCTTTTTCCCCATATACTTTTTACTCAGAGACTCTTCACCCAGAAACTCTTCTTGCACATACTTTTCACTCATATACTTTTCACCCAGAGACTCTTCACCCAGAAACTCTTATTGCACATACTTTTCACCCATATACTTTTCACCCAGAGACTCTTCACCCGGAAACCCTTCTTGCACATACTTTTCACCCAATGTCCTTCTCTCTCCAATCTCCTCTAACTAGCTGGCCCATCTATCTGTCCATCGACTGTGCCCAGAACCCCCCAGAAAACCGGACCTAGGGGGAATCGATACCCACCGTCACTGTTTTGCCACGTGGTACATTACCCTGCAAAACCATCTGGCGTCTGACGGAAATTACCGCCTATTTTCCCGATTTTTGACCCGTTTGGCAACTACCCCCCCCCGACCCCCTATTCTCACTTCGTTTGCAAATAGCAACTAGCCAGCTTCCCGGCTGGCTTTCGTAATAACAATCATATATATATATATATGTATATAATCAATACTATAGAGGCATAGAGAATCCACATGCCGAAAGTTGACGACTCACCTCGTGACGGTGACACATCTGGACATTGCGGTGACGCCGATGGCAAGGAGTCACTGTCCCTTGGCGCGTAAACGGATTTTGGTGCCCAACTGGGAAACTGAAAACATGACCTATGACCAAACCTAACAGGCTATTACTAATAGGACCCAATATGACCCAATGATTTAATCGACAAATGAAGAACGTGATGCAAAAAATATAAAAAAATATGGAAGATCCCCCAAAAATCTCGGCATTGTTGTTTCGCTCATGTTGAACCAGGGAGCGATGCAGCAGCTCCCAAGCGTCTTGCACCCGGTGCCAGTGGAGCCTCACGGTGGATCCACAGGGCACCTTTGAATCCATTCAAAATCAGATAAACATCCAGTAACATCCAGTGACATCAATAACATATTTTTTAGTAAAACAATCAATCTCAATCACATTCACAATATCGATAAATAGCCATCAACTAGTGATGGTGATTCAAAAAAATATGCTTGCACCAACCATGGATACTCACCATTAATCGCCCATCACAAGCCTTTGAAGCTTTTGTTGGTCCGGATCTCCGTGGGTCCATGGTCAGCTGCCATGAAGGTGCTGCATGAGGAACGGGACATGTCACCAATGTGTACCAATATCCATATACAATATGAGTAATTATCAGTATATATATATAAATAATTATCTATACAGGTATCATGTCTAGCTTCTGGAAGTCTGAAATTTGTTGGGCTGGTTTGGTGAAGTTCACTGCAAGGTTCTCCAACATGGCTGGACACCAACGAGTTTCTGGCGGGTAAAACCCTACATCCGAGCCAACAGGATCAGAAAACCTCTGGTGTGAAATGCGCTGAAGAGCATGACGTTTCCAAAACACAACCCTCAGCACAAGACTAAAGAAGATAACATCATCACAACTGGAAGAACATCGCAAGCGTTGCAAAGCAACTGTTTTGTGACATCGTTTCATTTGCAGCTTCTGCAGCTGGCACTTTTTGTTGTTTCGCATGATCCTTCGGTGTTCCTATCACTGCGGAGTGGGTCCAGCGGGGTTCAGCTGTGCTGTGGCCAAATCGGTGACAGCGATGCGAAAGTCCTGGACGCCCAGCAGTTTCACCGAAGACTTCGCAGACTTCACCTGCGACTTGGCGGACTTCGTGGCCAGGGCAGTGACAGAGTTCGCTGGAGAGTTGGCGAGCCAGGCCTGGACATCTGATGGATTGTAACCTACAGATTGGTCAGCAAAGAGTTGCTGAACGGGGCTGCCGTCCAGAACCAAGCCTGGGACACCCTGAGACACCCAACGTTGGAAACGCTTGGGGTCGTATCCCCAGAGCTTCAAACCCGCCAGGGCTTTCTGAATCCTTTGCTGACCGCCAGCTTGGAACATTTGGATGACGTAATCAGCTGCACCTTTTCGATCGGCATCACGGAGCCTCATCACCAAGAACTCTGTGTCCAGTTCGGCATTGGACTTCTGACTCCCATGACTCTCATGACTCTCATGGGCCAGGCCCACCGGTGGCACTGCCTGCTGCACCGCTTGCTGCACCGCTTGCACCGCTTGCTGCACCGATGGCACCGGTGCAGGCTGAAACGGCTTGGGAGTTTCAGCTCCTGCGATCCATGCTTGGATTTTTGCTGCATCGTGGCCACGAAATTGAGCACGTTGGAGCACTTCGACCAATTCCTCTTGGCCACCCTTGGCATAGATGTAACCCACTTCCTTTCGAGCACCATCCCTGTCTCCCTCAGCAATGCTCTTGACCAAGGACAATGCTTCATCTGAAGCTTCCAATGCATCAAATTTCTGCTTCTTCTCAGTCTTCTCAGTTGCTTTCTGTGATTTCGACGATGGAGTTGATGGAGTCGATTCCTTCTGAGTCTGTTTCTGTTCTTCCTTGATCTTCAGTCCAGCGGAGCGCATCTCCTTCCCAGCAGCCAGAAGCTCCACATCCTTGGCGTCATAACCCCAAGCCTGGACGATTTTCAAAGCAGCTTGAATCCTTGGCATGCCGCCGTTCTGGAAGACTTCAGTGATTCTGGTCTTCATCCCATCTTCGTTGGCCATTTTCATCAAGTCGATGAACTGCTGGGCATCTGACACATCTGACACATCTGACATATGTGACCCATCAGATTCTTCGGGTTTTGTTGAAATACCTGCTTTTACTGCAGCAAGGTGGGTGGTTTCAAAATGACTTGGATGACCTTCGGCAGGGAGCCACCTCTTGATGGCTGCAATGTCATATCCCATCCTTTGAAGCTCCAGCAATTTGGAGGAGAAGAAGTCCTTGCCGCCACTTTGAAGCTGAGCCAAGGCATTTTTCACCAAAGTTTGATTCGAAGAATCCAGGCCTCGAAGCAACAGCTTGAAACCATGGTCATCTGTCACCTTGGAATGGATTGCTTCCTGAGGGCTGGCTTCTCCCAGTTTCAATGTCCCGGAAACCCATTGCAGCAGCACGCTGTAGTCATAACCCATAGCTGCGAATCTTTGCAAGATCTCCTCCAGGTGTTTCTCCCCGCCCATGCGAACAATGTCACCCAAAACCTTTTTGGTACCGTCTCGGTCTGCTTCCTGAACCCTCTGGATCAGTTGTGATACTTCCCAGGTGGCATTCGCCACGGTAGCACCGGGGCTACCAACTTCATTCAACTTTAAGGCAGCCAGGCACAAGAACTGGCAGGCCACTGCAAACTTCATGACCTGGAGCTGGTGATAGTTGTGTAGACAGTGGAAATTGATGAAACAACACCAAACAAGAACAAAAACTGGGACATCAGTTGGACATGGTCACCCCTTTTACGAACAACGCCTTTGAAGTGCCTTAGAATGCCATATTTCAACTCATTTTCAGACCGCCGGTGTAGCTCCACAAGTCATTCTCATGGCCTTCATTCGAGGCTGCGTGCCCAGGTCACCTTCATTGAGCCCTCCGGCTACGGAAGTTTCAACCTGTTTCGGCCTTTCCAATGTTTCCAATTTTCAAAAAGCATCCAAACTGCAAATCACGACCAATCACGACCAATCACGACCAACAAACCCAAATGAGCCAACCCCTCTTAGTCTTAACGACACGTCGACAATATTCGACAGTCAACCCTGCTGGCGATGTTTTTCTCCGCGAGTTGATTTGCCTAGGGCAGCTGTCAGATGTCAGATGATGTCAGATGGTTTCCCCACGTAGAGCAGTTTGGAATTGACGCGCCTGATATTCGTCCATCAGATTGGGATCCATCCCTTCGTCGTGACCAGCTCGCAACATCACAGCCTCATCGCGCCTCATGACATTTCGGGCCTGGGGCTCACCTTTGTTGTTGAGGGCGATGGTGAAACTCACTTCATCACCAATCTGAAAACCAATCATCTGATTCTTGTGGATGTAGACATCTCTGGAAAAACGGCTTTTCACCTCATCACAGTCGATAAAACCATAACCACCCAGGGGTCCATCTTGATATCTTTTGATCCGACCGATGTATCTCTCTTCGCCACCAGCTCCACCAGCTCCACCTAGCCGTGGAGGTGACACCAAATCGCCCAAGAACTGCGACACCTCAGATGCTGGGAGTGCTGGGATGGGCCATCCAGATGGATGTTGAGACTGCCACTGGCTGCTTGGATTGTTTGGATTGTTTGGATTGTTTGGAGCCCATGGTGACAGCTGCGTCTGGAAATTCTGTTGAGGTACTTGAGACACTTGATGATGCAGTGGCTGATGTGGGTGGAGCTGTTGGTGCATTGTCTGTTGCATTGGTTGCACTGGTTGCATTGGTTGCATCTGATGCATTGGCTGCTGAAGGGGGTGCTGCATGTGCTGATGCATTGGTTGATGCATTGGTTGATGCATCTGTTGGTGTTGAAGGTTTTGGTGCAGCGGCTGTTGCATTTGCTGGTGTGCTGCTTGCTGCACATGTTGATGCATTGGTTGTTGCATCTGCATGGGTTGTTGCATGTGATGCAGCTGTCCATGCATCATTTGCATCCTCTCTTGGCTTAACTGTCCTTGATCAAAACCACTTGGGAATTGTGTCAGTGGCGTCACTGGTGGTGGCGGTTGGGGCACAGCTGGGACCCGGGGTGCGTCAAAGGACGGCATCCGGGCCACTGGGACCACTGGGGCCACTGGGGCTACTGGGGCTGGAGGTGTTGGAACTGATGGTACCGCGGCCGTGATCTCTGGAGGTTTCAACATGTCGAGTGGCGTTTGAACCTGTGGCTGACCAGCTTGAGATAACAAATTGTTATCTGCTACATCCCAACCTGACTTCTTTCGACTCTTTGACCTGCGTGATGAGGATGATGAACTCCGCCGAGAACTGGAACTCGATGGGCTTTCTCTCCTACGCTCTTCCCTTTCCTCTTTCTCTTTTCTTTCCTTTTCCAAACGTTCTCGTTCAGCTCGTTCTGCCTGACGTCGTTTTTTGGTCTCTTCGGCTTCTCGAGCTTCCCTCTCCTTGCGCTCTATCTCTTCCCTCTTGCGCCACTCTTCCATGTCTTCAGCAGTGACGCCTTCATCACTGTCATCCTCTTCCTGGCATTGAACATCACTAAACACAAATGAACCTCTAAAATATCCAATTGTTCACCAAAACCTGTCAAAAACTTAACCAAAAACGGGCACTGGCATTTGCCATCATAAAACAAAAAACAGACGCTTCGCACAGATGATGCAGCTGAGTCCTGCAGCTGCTCCTTCCACTTTGAGACTTTGGCTTTGCCATCTTGGGGAGCTTTTGGGGCCAGCACCTGTGAGGAAAAAAACATGGATGTGGGTGGAAAGGATCCAAAAAATATAGTTACCAGTAGTGCCGCACAAGGCGGTGGCGGAAGGGAAACCTATACGAGAGGTTGGTTGTTGTGAATCACGGATGGCAGAGCGAATCCACTGATGGACCAACAGGTGGTTGGAGCTGTGTTTTTTGGAATGGTTGCAATGTTTGCAGTGGTCACCTCACCACAACTGCTGGATGCAGTGTGGTGTAGCCCAGTTGTAGTTGTAGTTGGAGTTGTAGTTGTAGTTGTAGTGCAATGTAGCGTAATGGAGTTGTAGTTGTAATGTTGTGTAATAAGTGTAGTGTAGTTGCTGTTGCTGTTGCAGTTGCAGGTGTGGTGTGGTGTAATTAGTGTAGTGTATTATAGTGTACTGTAGTGTTGTGTGCTGTAGTGTGGTATAGTGCAGTGTAGTCTAGTGTAGTGTAGCGTAAGGTAGCATAGTTGTAGTTGTAATGTGGTGTGGTGTAATTTGTGTAGTGTCGTGTAGTGCAATTTAGTGGTATTTGCCATTGTAGTTGCAGTTGCAGTTGTAGCTGTAGTTGTAGCGTAATGTAACGTAATTACTGTAGTGTAGTGTTGTGTAACGTAGTGTAGTTGTAGTTGCATTTGTAGTTGTAGTGTGCTGTAGTGTAATTAGCGCAGTGTAGTTTAATGTGGTGTCGTTGATATTGTTGTTGTAGCTGTGGCAGTAGTGGTTGTTGTAGCTGTAGTGTCATTAGTGTAGTTTAGTGTAATTAGATTTAATTAGTGTAGCGTAGTGTAATTGGTGCAGTGTAATGTAGCGTAGTTTATTTGTATTTGTAGTAAGAGTGTAGTGTAGTGGTAGTTTTAGTAGTAGTTGTAGTTGTTTATCTTTCTATCTATCTATCCATCCATCGATCTATCTATCTATCTGTCTGTCTGTCTGTCTGCAATCTGTAAGCTTGAAAACGAAGCTATTCTGCTAGGCTTCCTCCATTTTCGAACTTGACAACATCAAAACCAAGGAAATTCTGCGAGACTTCCTCAATTCTTGAACTTGACAACATCAAAACCAAGGAAATTCTGCGAGACTTCCTCAATTTTTGAACTTGGCAACATCAAAAACGAAGCAATTCTGCGAGACTTCTTCAAAAATGGAAAGTTGACTGCCTCATACGAATGCGTTTTGCGTTTTTTTTCCACTCCTCCTGTCTAAAGTACTGCGCTGGCCACAAACAAGTGATGCCAGGTCATACGAAGTGCTGCACGTGTCACGCAAAATCATCTTAGCAAACCTGAAGATCTGATGCTCCAAAATGCAACCCCTCTCAGGAAACCAGCGCCCTGACCTCCTAACATCTCTAATGAACATGCCTCTGGTACTGCCTGCCATGGAAAATGCATCTTTGCAGATCCTCTTCAAATGGCCCACGCCTGCCATCGTTTTTGAAACTGCTACAGAACCGGCACGTTTTGCTCACTTTTGACACGGTGCAAAATCCCCTGCGCCTGCCACGCAAAACGACATCTGAACGTCCAAAAGTGCTCCGAACCCCTCAGTTTTTTGCCTTGGAAATGTGCTTTGCGCCACAACGTTCACAACGTTGTGCACTTTTTCGACATCTCAACTTCCAAAAGCAGTCTGAACATGGTGTGTTTGTAGCCGTCCGAACATAGTGTGTTTTGTACATTTTGACTTGTAAATGTGCTTCGCGCCACAACGGCGTGCACTTTTTCGACATCGCAACTTCTAAACGTGCTCCGAAGCTGATGTGTTTTGTACATTTTGACTTGGAAATGTGCTTTGCGCCGCAACGGCGTGCAATTTTTCATCTCTCATCTGGCCAGCTGGCTCCGCACCTGCCGCTTTAGCGAGCCTACTTTTCGACCCTCCGGAGCCTCAAATCATTGGAAAAACACAGTGATTCGCGGCTTTCCTACCTTTTCGCGCACCTGCATCTTCTTTCTTCTGACTCTTTCCCTTTTCTGATCTTGTCTCTTCTTCTCTTCTCCTCTTTGACTCTTCCCACCTCTGCTTTTCCATCTGTCCATATTGTCGGAAGTTTGACTTCAAAACTTCCTTCGCTAATAGAACATGTTTTTAACATGTCTTTGATTCAAACACCTTCAACTGCATTGTTTTGGTGTCCACAATGTGCATTGCACCTCCTTCTTCCGCTTGCCAAGCATACCACATGTGCAGTAAACAACGGCAAGCTTTTCATGTAGGGAATTTAGGCATCCTTTTTTCTGAGAATGCAGATTTGTACATCAAAACGCTGTACTGCCATTGCGTGTTTGTAGTTGCATGTGCATGGTTATATGCCAAGAACAAATTTAAAGATGGGAAAGGCACAACAAAAAACAGTATTGGGCAAACTTTGCAAACAGCAAAATCGTGAACGTTTTGCTAAACATGCATTCAAATGCTGCGGGTGCACAACAATGCAAATGTTCCTATGGCCACAATTTGGTTTGATTTTCTGGAAAGTGTAGTAATTCCACACAAATTTTCACGACGTTGTTGTCACAGAACAAAATGAAACACACATGGCAAACCAGATGGTAACAATCAACCCCGTCAAATTCTCGTTGGTTTTTGGCAGGCGTTTGTTTTGCGAAACGTCGGAAGGTTCACCAGAAATCATTGCATTCAGAAACGGTTTCGTGGAATGGCATTGCCAATATTGAATTCATCCCATGTGCGCAGTTCACGCCCCTGCAGTTGGGACCCGCACGGTCTTTTTAGCCGAGAAAACATCTTGCGTAAGAACCTGCAAAAACTCCATAGGATCTTGCTCAAGCAACCTCACAAGATCTGCACAAGGGCTCTGGCAGAGAGCTCGCAGAACCCCTAGACTCCCTAGACAAGGACCCGGCGAAAGATTTATCTCTAGAGAAGGAATCTTGGCACGATTCTTTGCACGGATCCCTTGGGGCGAATCGTAAGAACCCCGTTCAACAATCTTTTCAGGGAGGTCGCAAGATTTCGTACAAGTTCCTCGAAGGGAACTTTACGCAATCCCAAATAAAGACAACTTCCAAGCAACTCCGAACATTTCAAGGAACCTTGGTGGAATCTGCCAAATCTGTTCACAAGGATGCCGTGTAGGTTTTAACCACATGTCTGAAACAAGAAACTTGCAAATTACTTTCTTCGAGTGATCCCCATCAACTGACACTCTATCTGGCATATATTCTGACATTCCATTTGGCGCATATTTTGACATTCTACCTGGCATTCTTTCTGGTACACATTCTGACATTCCATCTGGCATTCAGGTGGCACTTTATTCAAGCATATATTTTGACATTCCATTTGGCATTCACTTTATCAGGCATATATTCTGACATTCCATTTGGCATTCAAGTGGCACTTTATCAGGCATACATTTTGACATTCCATCCGCATTCAGTTGGCACTTTATCAGGCATATATTCTGACATTCCATTTGGCACTCAATTGGCACTTTGTCAGGCATATATTCTGACATTCCATGTCGCATTCAAGTGGCACTTTTTCAGGCATATATTTTTGACATTCCATGCGGCATTAAATTGGCACTTTATCAGGCATATATTCTGACATTCCATTTGGCATTCAATTGGCACTTTAACACGCATATATTCTGACATTCCATCTGGCATTGAATTGGCACTTTATCAGGCATATATTCTGACATTCCATTTGGCATTCAATTGGCACTTTAACATGCATATATTCTGACATTCCATCTGGCATTCAATTGGCACTTTATCAGGCATATATTTTGACATTTCATCTGGCATTGAGTTGGCACTTTATCAGGCATATATTCTGACATTCCATTTGGCATTCAATTGGCACTTTAACACGCATATATTCTGACATTCCATCTGGCATTGAATTGGCACTTTATCAGGCATATATTCTGACATTCCATTTGGCATTCAATTGGCACTTTAACATGCATATATTCTGACATTCCATCTGGCATTCAATTGGCACTTTATCAGGCATATATTTTGACATTTCATCTGGCATTGAGTTGGCACTTTATCAGGCATATATTCTGACATTCCATTTGGCATTCAATTGGCACTTTAACACGCATATATTCTGACATTCCATCTGGCATTGAATTGGCACTTTATCAGGCATATATTCTGACATTCCATTTATTCAATTGGCACTTTAACATGCATATATTCTGACATTCATTCATTTGGCATTCAAGTTGGCACTTTATCAGGCATTCTGCATCCATTATTCAATTGACATTCCATCTGGCATTGAATTCTGCATTTGGCATTCTTTATCAGGCATGACATTATTGGCTGCCATGCCATTTGGCATTCTATCTGACATATGTTTTGACATTCTGTCTGGCATTGTTTCTGGCATGGCCCAGCAGCGTCCGGAGCTCGCGAGGGTTCGGGCCCGTGCGTGCCCAGCTGCATCCCGAGCTTGCGATATGGTTCGGGTCCATGTGTGCCCAGGTCTGAACTAGCCACATCCGGAGCTTGCAATCTGTTGGCGACAAGCTTGCGGAGACGTAGAGGAGTAGAAGAGGAGATGGGGTGCAGGAGTGAGTGCAGGAGTGAGTGCAGGAGTGAGTGAGGCACACGTTTGTTAAAATCTAGAGACCCCACGTGGCAGATCCCCACGTGGCAGGTAAGGAGCAAAAAAATGAGGGTTTGTCTGCAACGAGAGGGATCCAACATGCATAAAGTGCAGGGAATGTAGGGTGCGAGGTATCAAAAAACAACGCGTCTTACCGAAACTCGACCCGACACACAAGGTCACGCGAACCAATGTTCCCAAACCACGAACAAAATACGGACGTAAAGACACATCACAATTCAAAGTGTAAAAGTGGCTTTGCGTAATGTTACGTAAGAAGGCTTCGGCCCCACGTGCCGGAATCCAAAGTATCAAAGCACCGTGCAAGTTCCCCAATATCGCGCCTGTCACATGGAGGAAAACGTGCCCGAACCCTTTGCGTCTGTCACGCAAAGGAGGTTTTCACCTCCCACAAATGCCAAATCTT